GCTGTGCTCAATGTTCTTGCATCCCAGGTTGCGACAGCTTTGGACACACTGAACTTTGCCTTGATGACGGAGCGTAGTCGTCCGACAGACACGGTGGTGACCCCGAGAGCACCAAGAAACTCCAGACATGGGTTGCGGCCCCGCATCATCACGGAGCTCGCCTCCTCCGACCGATCTCGATCCCCCACACGCATTCGGGCTCGACCGGTGGACACGTCATCTACCTGGTATATACCGGCTTTGTCCCCGCCTCGACCCGCACATCGTGATGCTAGTGAACACAATCCTGGTACTCGGCCCGAATCTGTGTTAGATCGACTGCCACCGCCTCGTCCTCTCGCTCCCTTCGCAGCACACGGTGGACGAGAGCCAGGACAAACGACGCCTACGACACCTGAGTCGGATTCTGATGGTTCGATACGTCCGCATCCAGGTGCCTCGTCGTTCCGGCCGTCGCCGACGGTGGTCCATGGTCCTCGCGAACTTCTACAAGAATTTACCATTGCACTTCGCAATGCGTACCGTGAACCTTTCACGGCATGGACACAGGGTGAGCTGGATGAAATGGTGAGACGGAAGAAGGATAAAGATTCCAGGCCCACCTATAAGACCATTGCGCGGTTTCTTCAGAAGCCGATTGAGGAAGTCAAGCAGGCATGGAAGGTCTACCAACAACTTGAAGCTCGCGGCTAGCACCATGCCCGACAAATGCAGCAATGACCATTGATTGACCAAATGATACGCAGCGGCGGTGTGTCCGATTCGCGTTGTTGATCACATGATATTTGCTTGCTCGCATGTGAATCAATCTTGCTTGTCGTGTTGTGCAATGTCGTTGACATGCTGTGATGTCTTGCCTGAGTTGCTCAAATCATGTCGGAACAAGTTGTACAGACGTACATTACCTGGACCCATGGAGCGCAGCCGACGTGGTTACAATTTCATGGACCCGGGGCTCTACTCGACAGACCCATACGGTTAACTACGTCACCTCCGCCCCCGCCAAGTTTGCCATTGCTTCTTCCACCTCCTCCTCCACCACCACCACCACCGGTGATTCTTCACCCACAGTTTATGCCCTCGGTACGCAGCCCCACGATCTCAGCCCCTCGTGGACAATCCTGCCCTACCTCTTCGAAATCGCAGCGCACACGCCGCTCGATTCACAGCAGTGACCACTCCCGTGATGAAGAACCACGCAGTCCAGGGCCCTCGTCCAAACGATCTCGGACAGCATCAGCTTCGGCGCCGCGGCGATATCGACGGCCCTTTACAGTGTTTTATTCCAAACGTGCAGGCCGCCCATCGATATCCCCCTCGGCGGCGTGCAAACATTACTGTCACGCCATCCTGCGCCATGGACGGAAATGTCTTTCCCCTTGTGCTCGTAGACGGCCAGGTCACTATCATTGCAGGTGTGCGCGACATCAACGACAGTGAAAGCTAGGAGTCTGACATTTCCGACCTCGTTGCTGCGTTTCACCTTGTGTTTGAAAAGTTGCCTCACTCTTCAGTGTGTATGTGCGGTTTGCAATGCATGTGTGTCCTTGTCGCAGTCTTTCGATTGGTTCACAGTCGTACAAGCACGTATTGCTGCTATGAACCCCCAGTATTTCGAGTACCAGATCGATAGAGGAGTGGAATGGATTCGAATTTACTCTCCGGGCATTTGGAGGCCCGTTCCCGATGAGGCTCCTGTTCCTGACCCACTGTACGCTTCCACGTATCGGGAGTGGCGCAGATCATATCACTTCCAAGTGTACTGGTCTGAAGACAGCACCGGTGGAACAACAATGGACCCTATAGTCACGCCCAGTGCCTATGTGTCCTATCACGTGTGGGAGTACCGGGACTGGCAAACACGAGGTTACCAACGCCTTGGACCTCCTGTACAATCCATGGGATTCGCGATGCTCGTTAATGCGGACGTCGAGTCCTCGGTGGGCTCGTCGGTACCGGATGGGGCGTGGCGGGAACCGTCACCGCCGCCATTCCATGATCCTTGGAATGAGTCGGATTGATTTTTGAGCAGCATGTTGGACAAAGATGCGGTTGTGCTTGCTTTGTATGTGTGCTCACATTGGGTTGTCTTGCTTGGTGCTGTGCATGTCGTTTCAGTGTATCCGCCGCTTTCCGGGCTACCTTTGAGCAGCTTGTTGGGTTGAAATGTTCAATAGTACAGTGCAGGGTGCAGCACGATGGGACCTACCTCGTTATTTTGACTATGACATCGTTCATGGTCGAGCAGGAACGAGTGTGGAATGGATTCGAATCTATGTGCCGGATCAGTGGCATCCAGTAGCCCCAGACACCCTGGGACCGGCCCCGGATGACCCGACCGCCTATCGGGAATGGCGCAAGGTCTACCACTTCGAAGTGTACTGGCCCAGGGAAAGCACGGGCGGCACAACTATAGGCACGGCTCTGCAACCGGTATCCTATGCCACCTTCTACACTTGGTATTACAGGGACTGGGTCACCAGGGGGTATCAACGCCTGGGTCGTCCACATCCCAGCATAGCGAGGCCAGTTTTCGCTTCGGGTGCACCGGACCTCATGTATGCTGGAATGACCTCCTCTTCGGCATCATCTAATTCACATGATAGCTGATGCCCGTCCTCGCCTCCCTAGAGAGTCTGCCTGAGATGTTGGCGACGCACAGTGCTACAAAAGTGGTCTTTTGCCTTTTGATAGTTGAGTTGCTTTCACTTGTTGTTGTCTGCAGCCGTACACCTATCAACTTGTTTTTCCGTGGTTGCGTTGTCATGCCGTGGCTGGAATGGTGCCCAGACCCGCAACAACCTGATGCCCAGTGGGTCAAGATCTTTCATCCGGGACCATGGACGCCTCAAGAAGAACATGATGCTCCACCTCCTCCGCATACTTTCAGAGAATGGCGGGAGTTCTATGCTCCCAACCAGGACTCAGACGATGGGCAAGTCCAAGTCACTACGTGGTACAAGCGAGACTGGGCCACAGAGGGCTATCGGAGAATCGCTGCTCCTCACGCTGGTCATGAATTTGATTCCATGTATCCCTCCGATCACCATAACGTGGCCACGCAGTCGGCGGCGTTGAGTATATCGCCGGAGCTGTTAGACGCGATTCTCAGGTCCTCGGATGCGGCTGATTTCTCCACTGAAGAACTGATTCGTCTCCAGGAGGGGATTTCTCAACAACTGACGGCCCGCGCACGTCAGACCTCCCATCCTCATCAACCAGTACGTGCATCGCGTGGAAACACACCATCGGAGACGATTGGGGTCTCCGACCCCTACACGCCCGTGAATCCGTCCGACAGAGGCCAAGACAAGATGAGGCCCGTCTTCGAGCTGACTGACGACTAGCCGTGCATGAGCAGCGCAGCGTACAAAATAAGGGTGGCCTCTACACTTGCATGATCTTGCTTTGCTGTTGTTTGAACATGGTTGTGCATGGTGCTTGTTCATCTACTAGCTGGATCGGAGCCCGCGACCATCCTTGCCTCTTGCCTTGACATGGACATCGATGATTCCAAGCAGTATCCATGGCTCGAATATTCGGTCTGGCATGATCAGGAGTGGGTGCGGATATACACTCCGGGACAACCTCAACGATGGCACCGTGGTGACGCTGTACCTGATCTACCTGAAAACTCTTTTCGTGAATGGCAGCGGGTGACGGATCCCGAAGCGCCAGTCCAGGCATGGAACATCCGTGACTGGCAACACCAAGGGTACCAGCGCATTCTGTCTCGGATGGAGTCCTTCGCAACTCACGATTCACAGGATCAGACTCTTGGTCAAGGTCGGAACTCCGATGCCGTTCAAGTTGAGGAGACCTTCACCTATGCCACTCCGTTTTCTCATGGTGATCGCCAGGCTGCTTCACAAATCGCTTCAGTCCTCTATGGCGACACTCGCAACGCTCAACGTGGTGATCTTTCGTTCCCGTCTTCTGAGCGGTTTAGGGCAGTGTCTCGCTCCCCTCGCCGTGGTGGATATTTTGGTCAACGATAGTGATTTGAGTTTGAGCATGTGATCTTCCTGCAGGAGAAAAGAGAAACCTCGCCCCTCGTAGAGGGGCGTGTGTGTGCGGAGTGACAGAATGCCCTGTCACCACCCTTTCTATTTCGCAGCAGGGGCGTGCAGCACCTTTGGCATACTGCACGCAATGAAGCTATTGCCAAAGGTGGGAAGGGTGTCCAGACGTGGACACCTGTACCTGCGTCGTGATGTTGCTGAAAGTCCTTTTGGTCCCCTCCCTGAACCGCCGTTGTTTTGTGTTTCCCTGTTAAAGTACCTACAGGGAAGCCAAGTGCATTGCGAGCCGAAACTCATCGTACTCGAGACTTGTCGGTTGTACTCGAGACTCATCAGTTGTACTCGAAAGATTAGCACTCTCCATCTGGAGTTCAAGTGTGTGTGTGTGTGTGTGTGTGTGTGTGTGTGTGTGTGTGTGTGTGTGTGTGTGTGTGTGTGTGTGTGTGTGTGTGTGTGTGTGTGTGTGTGTGTGTGTGTGTGTGTGTGTGTGTGTGTGTGTGTGTGTGTGTGTGTGTGTGTGTGTGTGTGTGTGTGTGTGTGTGTGTGTGTGTGTGTGTGTGTGTGTGTGTGTGTGTGTGTGTGTGTGTGTGTGTGTGTGTGTGTGTGTGTGTGTGTGTGTGTGTGTGTGTGTGTGTGTGTGTGTGTGTGTGTGTGTGTGTGTGTGTGTGTGTGTGTGTGTGTGTGTGTGTGTGTGTGTTGCATGCGCACTCATTCCTGCATGTGCGGCGTGTATGTGTATGTGTGTGTCTAGAACGGTGAGTGCAGAAGATGTTTCGGTGCATGTGTGTGTGTGTGATGGTGTCGTGTGCCATGGGTTTGCTTTTGCCTTTGTGTGTGTGCGCGTGCAACACTGGCTTGTGTATTGGTATGCGTGTTGCCTCAGCCTTTAAATCAATTGATGTCTACCTCTTTGTGACTTTGCGTGTGGGTGTTTCTGTTCGTGAGCTGGGGGAAGCCAAATCCCGGCTGCCTTGCAAGGCGCATCAACCGGCAGCAAGCTCAGCTCGACCGATTGGAGGCCGGAAGTCAACTGTTAGACTGCTCTGCCTAGATGGATAAACTCATTCCCCACTAAGTTGGCTTCAAAATCTTCAAACTTTTGGGAACATCTGCTGGCTTGGGGCGCGGCAGTTTGAGAAGGCATGAATTGAGATGTGCCGCCGGCAACGGCAGAGAAAGACAGCAGACGGCGCGTCTTCTCAAGAAAAGAGGACACAGCCATTTGGGTGTGGGGCACCTTGGCAAATGGCACCGAAGACTAAAACCTGAGTAACCCCTGGTGGTTAAAAAAAATTGACCCATACCCATTTGGTTCTCCCAGTCACAGCCCACCCGGGCCACGCCCCCCAAACGCCTCGAATGGCGAGGCGCTGGCGGAGGAGAACGCCACGCTGCGCGCCCAGCTCCGGCGCCGGCCCGTGGTGAAGGAGCGAAGTGGCCAACGTCCGTCCGGGAGCAACGGGAGCAACGGGACGACTGGATGGGTATGGCTCCACAAAACCAGGGGTTTGAGAGGGGTTCCCTGTTTTTGAGTGGACACCAAAGTGGTTTTCCTTGCGGTTTGCCTTCAAAGCTGAAATGGGTGCCCAAAGAAGCATATGAAGGATATGCTATGATGATTGTACTTATGAGGGCTGAAACTTATTGCACAGGGCCCTCATCTTTGGAATGAAATAGTGTGAATTTGGATGCAGTTGTGTGCATGTTCTTTCTCGCAAGGATTTCTCCTTTCTGATCACTTCCCAATTGGAGAAGCTGGTGAACTCAAATAGACAGTTTGTACGTTGGCACATCCCAACAGCTCGCTGAAAGTTGAAGGTCTATGGATGCCCAGTCGTCAAGTGCGTTGAGTGGACTCTGGCCCCTGCCTGAGCTCCCAGGGCCCAGAGGCTTTTTCCAGTTTGTTGGCCATCGATGCTGGACACGCAGCTTGGGCTGAAGGATTGGTGGTTTGCACCAAGATGCAAGCTAGTGAGCCCAACGAGATAGATGCACGTCAAGCTGCTAAAGTTTAGCAAGGCGCACGCCAAAAAACAGCCGCGACAATGTTCTATGCAATGCTGCAAATGCCAGTATTGTTTGTCTATGTTCTTTGTGTTGGCAAGACGGAAAGCGTGATTTGCTGGGCACCGTTGGCTTACATGATCGAATACTGGGCAAGGAACAACGCGCAGACTATCGAGATTAGACCTTGGCAACACGGGGCGCTCATGTCAGGTATTGACTGAGATCTGATCGGCCTGCCTTGTGGAATAGTGACTTGCCCCGTTCTTTCCCGGGTTTCGGAACAGCTGTGCTTGGATGCGTTAGGTCGGTTTTTCTGTGTTGACTTCCCATTAACCAAATAATCGCCATCCGACATTGATGTTCTTTGGGGTGCTAGCACGATGTTTGGTGATTTGCGGTAGCTCTTGATCTTCAATGTTGTGGCAGTTTATCTTTGCTTGGCAGTCAGAGCACGACTGGCCGCATTATTTATGTTTATTTATTTATTTGGCGAGTCGCTTTGGTCCTGACTCTCCTTGGGTCTTGCCCCATTCCGCCAGGAGACACCTCTGCCCTTGAGCGCGCGCGGGGAGAAGAACCGCACCGAACGCTGGGAAGGTGCCACCGAACGCATGGTTTGCTGATGCTTTGTGCAGAGGGAGCCATTGTTTAAAAGGAAAGTAGTCTTCCACCAAAACCCTCAACGGAAAAGGCTTCTCTTCTAGATTCCCCACAAAAGCATCCTAAAAGTGGGTGGATTCTTTCTGGGCTCTTCTCCCAAGCGTGTTTTTTTCTCGTTCAGACTCAATATGGTTCCCACACGGGCTATCGGGTTGAAGGTGTAGTCGAGAATTGATGGAGTACAGAGGGGAATACTTCCAGGATACTTCCAAGGACGGTTTGCTTCAAAGTGAATCTGGATTTTTACGAGTTGGGCACACATCTGTTGGTTTCAGTCTGCAACGGATGCAGCGCACCCCATCCCTTCCATCAACGGTGCGCCCAAACACTCAGGTTAAACACGGCTGAGAAAAACTGGCTGAAACATTGAACGTTGGTCCAATTGACGCCAGTCTACTGTGAAATCTGGTGTGTCCAACTACATCAATGATGCGCCGCTTGCACAAAGTGGCCTTTCAAATGGAAAATCGTAGACAATGGGGCAAAGAGAGGGTTGTATAGTGAAGTCGATCATCTATGAGGCATTCGAAGGAAGGTTTGGGACTAGAATCTGAAAGTATGTGGGTGTTCTGTTCAGTACCAACCCAAAGTGGTGGGTGTCCTTTTATTTTTCCCTATAAAACGACAAGGTCCCCTAAAAGACGAGGCACCCGTGTTTTGGGGCAGGCGCTGCCTCGCCCACGCTGGTGCGACGCTTCCGCACCGCACCGGAGGCTGGGGTGACCGGTGCTAGAGGATGCATCAGGGGTCCTGGGTGTGGGTTTTTCCTGTTTTTTTCTTTTTTTCTCGGTTGGGGGGTGTTGAGGGGTCACCACTTGGTTTTTGCCCACCCACCCCATCCCTCAATCTTACATTCGCTCGTGTAAGTTCTTTTTTTGACGGGCTCATCTTTTTGGATGGGAATCGTTTGGAAACAAGATCAGGCTCTATATGTTCTTCGTCAGGGTTGTTCAAACAGCACTTTGTTGGCCAGGAGTTTCTTTTCGGTGAGCTTCAAAGTGGCCACATATGGAACCCTGCGTTGGTTGCCTTGATGAATAAGCCTCCCAGTAAATTGTTGGGTGTTGTTTCTTCTCCCACGCTATGAAGCAGGTTCGGGTTACCTTGCAACTATGCTTAGGGCAAGGGATCATCTATGTGCCATTATTAGCCCTTTGACTTTGTGTGACTGCCGCTCGCCATCAGCTCTTTTGCAAACAAATTGGCCGCCCAGAATTGCTAGCAAAGAAGGAGTTTCAACCCGACCATAGCTCGTATCAATGTTGTCAGTCCCCAGTTTGATACCTGTGCCAATGTCAGTTTCAAGGGGATGCCCATGAACTTGGCTATAGCCATGTTTCTGATTTACTGAGTGGGGATGTCCGCAAAACATTGGGGGAGTCTGCCAAATGGGGCCCCGGCTTCGTGCTGGCCCTTTGTTCAAACCCGTCAAAAGAATCGAGGCACTCGCCCAAAGCTTGGGAACTGATGGCTGATGCGCCTGGCGGCTAAAGTGCAAACTTCACTTCCATTTGCTTGAGAAGATTTGTCATTTTGCCCTGTTGGTTTGAAGGGAGCCTATCACTAATGGAAATGCGTGTTTTTTCTCTCTTTTTTCCAGGGGGCTTAAGCAAAATGGCTGCGTTCAAGGGCCAAATGCGAAAATCCACGAAGGGCCCAGTGCATGCAGCCTCCTTTTGAGTCGCAGCGCGTGAGGCGCGGCACTCCGATGCCCCGGTCGCGCTGGGCTGAGGCCGTAAGAGCTCGCTTGGAGAGGCTGAAATTCTGAGATTTTGGTTTCGGTGAACGCAGGTGCCAAGCCAAAAGGGCTTGCGATCCCAAAGAGATGGCTAACCCTTGGCTCCGAGAGCAAGATGAGCAAACCCCAAGCTCATGTTCCACCTGAGGTTGGCCTTTGGTTTTCCTTAGGCTCAAAGTGTTACTGGTACCAACCTGGCCGTGGTTGTCACAACCAATGGGATCCCATTTTGGGGTAGGTGCACCACCCATTGTTGTCTACTTTAGTGGGGATGGGGATGTTCACTGGGGGTACGATTTGGGTTTTGACCCATGGCCACCTGGATGGAGCCTTCCAGGGCCTGAACAGATTTTAAGGCTTGCCGGGGTGTTTTGGGAGCAACGGCTTCGTCCATCCTTCCCGCGGCTCAGGTGTTGACTGCCAGAGCCCCGTCTCAACGCGGCGAGGCCGCGAGTGGCACATGTGGGTTTGCCCTGGTACATGAAAAGCACGGACTAAAACACCGGTCAAAAACAGGGCACAAAGGGTTTCCGAGCCATTTCCCTGCTTTGCACCCTTCAACAGTGGCGATCGTTTTGATGGAAACCACCGGTCAATTGCAACTGATGATGGGGAAGTTGCAGTGACCCCTGCCTGACCAACTCTTAAAGGATACGCCCCATTCGCACAGAGAAATCCTGACAAATGACTGGAGCACTGGAGAGTTGACGTCTCTTGCAAGTGGATGGGAGAGACAGAAGCTTGGAATCCTTGGGACAAGCTAAGCTTTATCCATGCTCCAAGCGAGGCTTGGCAGAGCAGTAAACCAAAAGTGCGGAGACTAGGTGATTCCCTAGATTCCGCTAAACCAGCCAGCAACCAAGCGCCATTGCAAATAGCAGTGAATTTGCATACACGGGCTTCAAGAGTGTCCGAGGTGTATTGTATGCACACGCAAATATGCAAACACTAAAGAGTTTGCGATCTTCATTTGGGTCTGTCTTTTTTGAGACCCTTGTTGGGGGGTCCGATTAGAAGAAGGCGAGCCACCCATGGTCCTTCCCGGCCGAAGCCGAACGAACATCGGTTTCGCCAGGCCAAGGTGGCCATGGTGGAGCAAACCCTGGCGGCACCTCGGCTATCAGAGCGATTCCCTTTCCGGCTCGCCTGGTGAGGCTTGTATGAACAAAGCGCCCAAAGTAAGGACTTTTGACGGCGCCCTTTTGAGAATCCAATGTGGTCAAAGCAAGCAATGCGGCAAATGGTTTGGAGAAAGTATGAGGTTTTGTCCTTTTTGATTTGGCCAGTCCACAAGCTTCCAAGGTTCCAAAAATGGGGCCAGGTTTGCCTGATTTCCCCAATCGAGCTCAAACATGGTACCAGCTCGAAAAATACTCCCAAGGTCCCAATGGGTCTTTGAGCTTCGCTGGATCATGTGCTGGAACTTTGTGGGGGTCATAGAGCTCTGGCCATGGTGAAGCTTGAAACAGGCTGGGCCTGATGTACACCTTAGGCCCGGGTTCTGATGCTCGCGCATGTTGCCTTTCAGCTGACAGAGCATCCTTGGGCCAGCAGTTCGCTTCAGACACCCCAAAGAGGTCCCCCCGCCGAGCAATGGATGTGTCGCCTAAGGAGCTGGAGAAGGCGCTGGGCCTGCAGGGCAGCCCTGACAAGCAGCTGATTCTTGAAAGCTGAGAACAGCCTCAAGGCGCTTTGCTACATTTGTTTGTTGTTGAAAGAAGATTCCTTCCTGGGCACTTTGCCTCTCTTTTGAAAGATTCCTTCCCGCCCAAAGATGGAAGCACATGACATGTTCTAAAATGGAAGAAGAGCTTGTGCAAGTCCAAGGAAAAAGGGCCTGCTGCCCTCAGGCTCCCTCTTTGAAGCATATCTCCGCGGAGACCTTGGGCAAGTTGCCAGGCCTGATTTCCACACTTACTTTTCCACGGATCGAGCACGATTTCCTCTTACCAGCATGATGTTCAGAGTCCTGCCAATGGCACTTGGACCAGTTTCAGCAGCACAAGTTGACCAGCAAATTGGCTTAAATCTCCAGACAGTTGGCAGGAGTTTCGGCACTTCCCTTAGCTTCACCGCAACCAGTAGAGTTCCTATTTGGATTGCAGGCTGAGTTTGGCACGCCGCGGTGTTTGTCGTAGGGACCTGGAGCTCAGTGCCAAAGACAAGTACGAAGCTTCGCGATTGCATCGCCTGATGAAACACCAGAGGGCAACGGCCAAGGCCAAGATGACACAAAGCACGCGAGCCACGTGTTGCGCGTATTGCTATGGAATGTCATGAAGCCCTGCAGGATGCGTGTTGATAGGGATCCACAGAGGCTTCACCTGTGCCATCTCGCCTTGCCTGAGCCCATGGCCAGAGACAAAGCCTCCGGAGATGCACGACTGGCGACATGCTCTGCTGGCATGCCAGCAGGGCAGAATCGCGCGTTCAAAGGATGGCAAGCCGCACCTTTTGCGCATGGCTGGTGAAGCGTTCCTTCTTTGGTATTGGAGATCTTGGTGAATTGGTGAATGGAAGGTGCATTGCAGCTGCATTGCCTTGCGGTGCACGTGAATTGGATGCGGGGAATTCCTTTGCTACGCTTTCAAGACCTTAGGCATTGAAGTCACGTTCAGTTTGATTTCCGCAGCTGGCACATACTGGCCCTCAGCAAGACGCCGTAGCTGAAATTGGCTTACCATGGTTTGTCGTGTAGGATTCCGGGCTAAGCAACTATGTGCCAGCGCCAGACTGTCAAAGGCAAGCCAGTGCTGTTCTCGTGTGCGCCAAAGTATCATGCGAGACAATCTTTGGGCAAGAGTGCAAGATACAACAATTCGGCAATGGGCATCAGGCCCAACATGAATTGCAATGGCAAGTCACAACCAGCAGCCAAAAGAAACCAACCACGGCCATAGCGGCATTGTGCTATGGCGTGGACGACGCCCGGCATATGGAGCCCAGGCCCGGGATCTGGGCAAATGCATCCCAGATTCACATGGCCCAAAAGGATGGGTTTTTGCAAGTGGAGGCTGGAGACTTCAGATATCTCCACACGCGCTGATTCAGTGTTGCGGAGGTGTAGGGTTCAAACTTCTGAGCATCATGTCCGGCCGAAAAGAGAAGCTGTTGCATTAAGAACGGTGTTTTCCCTGGTATCTCTTGGCCTGGAAGAGGTCAACGCAGTTGGGGCACTGGATTGGGGTGCATTTTGTTTTTTCGATGCACCCTTCTCTCAAGCCCTCGAAGACTGTGATTCTTCTTCGGCTGCCTTGTGTTCCTTTGCCCTTGAACATGATGGATGTAGACACTTTGGGAAGTGACGCGGAGTCCTCTGTCTTGTGGTTTTGTTGGTGCCCTCAAGTTACCCCTGCAGGGCATCGACCCGGGTTGCTGACCGCTTTCGTGTTGTTTTGTTTCTCTTGGGAAGCAAAAAGCGTCTTTGAGCTTTGCAATGGGCCCCGTTCGCATTGAGTTTCGAAGGGCCTGCCAGTCGAGAGGGCTGGCTTTGTGCGTTGGGGCAGAGCTAGCTCCGAGGGCGTGCACCACCAATGAACACACGGGCGTTTGCAGGGCGGCTTCCAGGTCTTGCAGGGTGTTTTGAGCCAAAGATGCAGCCGTGCACCACTTTGCTTTGACGTAAGCGCGTAGACTCGCCGTGCTTCACACATCTTGGTTGTCACTTGAGATGAAGACACCAGGCTGAGGAACTCACTAGGCAGTCAGTCCGGCAGGCGTGGGTATGGCTCCTGCGCCCTATCTGGAGGCAGGGCCTCAATCAACTCGGGGACGCCTGGGCACTCCCCTGGGCGTTTGACTGCACGAACCGGTCGACTTTGTAGCAATGGAATTATGAAGAAAGTCTTGGCAAGCATGCCTTTCTTTTCAGAACAGCCAAATTTGGATAGGAAGCATCCTTAGAGGAACTTAAGTTGTTGTCCATTGTTCATGAACAGCAAAACGCTGCGGGAGATCGTCCACAAAAGCCCGCCCATCCAGGGTTGAGAATCGCGCCCTGCACATGCCTCTAAATTTGTACCATCTATACCACCTCCGGAAGATCCTCGTTCTTGGCCAGAAAGCCAAGGCTGCAAGGCGCACAATGACCATGCAGTGCAGGCACACTTTCTATCTGTGTCAAGTGTAAAGGCAGACTAGCGACCTATAAGAAAGGTGGAGGGGCAAAATGTTTTGAAACACCAGCCTTTGAGTGCCAGGCTCCGCCAGCTCAGGGAGAGCTCACGCAGCTCTTGACCGAGGCTCTTTCGCCCCGACGCGCAAGCTTTGTCAAAACTAGGGAGCACTCAAGATGGATTCATAGTGGTTCCCTTGTGAAGCCACTTTTTCAGGAGGCCAAGCCTGCTACCCAGCAGTGGCCAGATTCTGAAACCAAGCGGCGTTGCAAGTGGCGAGGGGAGACGCGGGCGGCAGGTTGCTCGGCAGCGGGAGGAGGCCGCGCAGTTGCGGCTGCGGGTCATGCAGGCTCCGCCATGCACGTTTGTTGACTACAGATTCAATGTGTGTGTTTCGCTCTCGCTAAAAACCTAACCAGGCCACTTTTGGCGGAACTTGGCCCTTTGGGTGATGGATGGCTCAGGCGACCGCGCTTTGTTCAATCCAATATTTTGCTGACATGCTGCTCTGAACGAGTCTTCGGTCATGACTTATGTTAGCTGATTCTCAATTTGCGAACTTGCTTTGTAGCTGCTTGAGTTTCGCGGAACTGGACGGGATAGCCTCCTTTGCCATGGCTCTGTCCAAACTTCTCGCAGGATGCTGGAGCAGCAACACATGTCACAAATTAAATGCGCGCATATTTTTGTTCAGATCGCGCTTGGTGCGTTCTGTCTTGCAATCTCCAATTGTTTTCGCACAAAAACCTGGCGGAAGCTTCCAGCTTTGTTGGACAAGGCGAAGAGTGGGAGATCTAGGGCGCTTTCAATGCCGCTGAAATGTTGCGTGGGCAGGGCATGGCACGGCTCTCAACTCAAACATGGTTTAGTTACGTGTTCTGCCGCTGTCGAGCTGAGTGCCTCGGCGAAGTACACAAGTCTGGCTTGCTAAACGGCATGGATTCGAAGCTCCAAGATCCTGCGGTTTTTCACAGCCAGTCGCCCTCGAAGCACCGCGAACAGCTGGGAGAGGACTCAACGGGGGGGAGCGGAAGCGTCGATGCGCAGTTGCGCCCTTGGGGCCCAGTCACCAGATTATTCAGGTGCCAGGAATCCAGAAGGGTCTGCTTTGCGTGCCTATGTCAAGGCATGACTGATCCATATTTGCCAGTTAGACCCAGAATGCTCGAACCCAAATCAGCTTGGGATAGGGTGATGTTTCAAATGTCACCAGCTGTGCCCAAGCATGGCACTGTGCACATGTTCATGTGTTCATGTTCCTAGGGTGGCCAGCTTGCTCGCCGCTTCTGTCTCGGCCTACCCGGCCATCGGTATCATCACATATGTCCCCAGGACCTCCGGGCGCAAACTCTGAATTGGCAGCCTCCGGTGCACAAGGCTCGAGCAATGGCTCCCGCTTTGTCGTCAGAGACGAATGGAGCTGGGCTTTGTCGATAGACGACTTGCGCGCACGCGCACACGTGGAGCCTTGAGAGTGGGATTGGACGTCGCAGGTGAAGGAAGTCAACCACACGGTTGAAGAGGCAGCGGAGCATTGGCGTTTTTTCGGAGCGCGGGGCTTGCCAGAGACACAGTGGGTCAAACTATCTCAGTTCATTGGCGCAGTTCATGTGGGCAGTGGCCAGGGGCATTTGTCCAGTACCTAGAGAAAGCAGCGGCTGACAGGTTCGCTCAAGGATCGCCTCGCTTCGGGATACCTTGGAGCAGGCTCGTGGGCGGAATGTTCGCTTGTGACCTGGGCATGCCTGCCCGGCGCAAGGCATGGCACAGGCAGTGAAGGCTTTATGGGGGCAGCAACCTTGGCGCCCTAGCCAGAAAGCATGCACCTACACAAGGGATCGAGCGAACACCCTTGGCATGCCAAAGGAATTAATGGGAATTGGGGACTCTCTCAGTTTCCCACAAACACCAGGGGGCTCTCTCGAATTTACTCATGTGGATTGGCATTCCTGTGTTTGTTGATGCATCATCTGACATGTTCCGCCAGAAGCGCTCAGAGGAGTTTAAGCACAATAGCATGAATCCGGGTGTCAACTGCCGTGTCTTGGTGCGCACGCGGCAGAGGCTTGTGCTTGGTGTCACCATTTGCTTGAGGGATATCTTCAAACGGGAGAGGTAAAAGGAAGGCAAGCAGCAATCAAGAGAGAGGGAGAGAGAGAGACTGAAAGACAGAACAGGGCGACCGTGAGTTCACGGAGATGTGTCAGGCGCAGCCTGAGCACGTTTGCCACTGGCCGAGTGCGCCCAAGCCCAAGGTCAAGGTAGCATCACGAAGTTGACCACATGTGGCAGTTGCAGGGTGGGTCCAAATATCCAGTTTGCGGATTTGGAAGTGACCTGGGCGACTCACTCAATTGGCCACAAAAACCAGGAGCCGGGAACATACCTTTGAGTTCCTGGGTCGCAGAGTTCAAATCGTCCTTGAGCTTTGCACTCAGGCCGCCTGAGGAGAAGCCGAGGCGAGTGAACTGCTGCGATGTTGGAACGGAGAGTCCTGTCGTTCGCTTCACGTGAGGTTCGAGTCCATGCTGTTGCCAGTTTTCTGGCGGACAAGTCGAAGCCTTTCCTCCCGCAATGCGTATAGGTTTGCGGGCTGACGAGATCAGACCCGTTCGGCGCAGGAAGACTCGCAAGGCCTCGCCTAGAACCAAGGCGCCCACAAGGCAACCTGGCGGCATCGCGTGCTTTGATTTTCGGTTGGCTGGGGCCGATGTTGTTGTCTTAGACAGGGAGACTCTCTTGCTCGAGCCTCAGGATTCCTTGCCGCACATCCCATTCAAAATCGTTCTGCACGTTCCTAACCTAGTCACCTTCAGAACAATCAAAGTCAACGAAAGCAATGTGCATCTAAACGCAGAGCTGGTGTTTTTCATTGGCGTCGAAATGCATTGACCCGCAGGGAAGGCGTTTGTCTCGAAAGATCCACGTTCAGTGCTGTCCCGAACTTCCCGCGGAGGTCTGAGAAGCGAGAAAAGATGGAGCCAGTGCCGGGGGCCGAGACAAGAGGCTGCCAGCCGGCCAAAAATCTCGGCTGGCGCGGGACAATCGCACCATTTCGCTGGCTGCGTTTGTTTGCTCAAGAGATTCCACGGGTTTTTGTTGGGGTGTCAAGCGCATCTTTTTGTTTTTTGATATGAAGATTTGCCAGGCAAGCAGGCCGAGTCTGCTGCTCGTCCCAGGACGGAGCGCTTGACGCGAGCCAACGTGTCCCGGCGCTCCCGTCCCAACTCCCCAAACACGTCCACATCGCTCAGGACAGGGCTGGGGGAAGGGGTGTTTAATGCATGTCAGCCTTGCTACTTCTTTGGCACTGAACGGCTGTTTTCCAATGGGACTTTGAGGTGGTTGTTTCCTGACAAAGGTGCGACGCATGAAGGAAGCGTGGGGCTTGCTATAAAGAGGGCGGAAGACGCGTCGACTGCGCTTCAGATTGTGAGCTGTGCTCAACGCAGCGTTTGACATGTGACCAATGGTGAGAAGTGTTGGATAGTTCGACCAACGTCCCGTGTTTCCCTTTCACGTGAAAGTAGACTGAACTTGGATCTGGCCTTGTCCAGATTTGTGAGTCTTTGCCTGCCCATCCAGCCTAATTACTGTCGGCCACTTGCCGGATCCTCTAGAAACGGTTTACATGCGCCTTGTGTGGATTTCACCTGTTCTTTCCCCTGTTGATCCTTTTTTCGTATTCTTTTGGTGCTCTTTTAACATCCTACAGAGGATCCACAAAGGGCCGGTTTCTCCGAAGGCGCTAAACCCCCCCCCCCGCCGGTGAGACGCAGGAGTGTGAGCCCCAGCTCCAACCCCTCAGCCCCACGGCTCTGCACCTCCGTGCCAGAGCACAGGCGAGAGGGCGAGAGCAACCGAGCGGTTGGTCGGAGGGAAGTTTGGCCCGCGCCTTTTGCGTGTTGCCGTTTTCTCAACGACGGGAAAAACAAGAAACCAAGCCTAGGTTTGACCCCCAGAGTCCAGGCATTAAGCATGCTCAGGGCACTTGCGGAGTCCTGGAATGAGAGAGAGAGAGAGAGAGAGAGAGTCTGACTGGCGGAGTCTGGCTGGCGCATTCCAATCGGTTTGAGTGCCAAGCTGCCTGTGTCTCTCGCCAGGCTAAAGCCGCCTGAGCCGCAGTTCCTTTTCAGCTTGCCGCTGCGCGTCTACGAAGGCGGTTATATGTTTGGTGCGCCCATTTTGGTGTCCCGTCTCCGGATCGGCCCCGAAGGCCCCAAGAAGCTGGTCGACCTCACCTTCAAGGGCAAGGAGAGTCGTTCAGGAGAGTCGCTCCTGGCATGGCCGGGACGCGCCCGGCAGCGGATGTTGCTTTGGGCTTTCGTTCCAGGATCTCCGCCCACATCGCCCACGGCGACCCAGTCAGAGTCTGCCAGGTGAGGGCCCAAAAGGGGAGGGGGAGACCACGAAACCATGGTTGTTGTTGGGAAACATTTTACATGTTTGCTTATTGTGGTTTAGTGTGAAATCCGCACTTAACTGCTAAAATTTGAATTTTTGCTCCCCTTCCAACGTCAACCAAGGAACGTGTTTGCCTGGATGGGAAGGCGTCGAAGGGAAAGTCTCATCCGCCAGGAGCTTCATGTGGACCCAGGATCCTCCTGCCAGGGCCTATCAGGCCAGCGTGGGACTGCATTTGTTTGCTGCCGAAAGTTGGAGCTGCAAGACTCAAGACAATTTCTCAGCGCATGACACGCCTGAACTGGGTGTTTTTCTTTTGAGTTGCCCGGTTTCCTGTTGGTTAGGCTTCAAAACACTTTTTCGAGATAGACGCCATATGGTTTTGGCAGCGGGGATGTTGGCCCCAGCCAAATCCTTCCAACTCCATGAGGCAGTCTAGGCCGATTGTGGCAAGACGTTGGGGAACTCCCTTAATTCTGCATCACCAAAACACCTTGAGATGAGGGGCAAATTCCACAAAGTGTCCTAAAGTACAGCGTTTGGATTGCAGGGTCCTTGTCAGGTTCACGAGCGGGCTCCTGTGCAAGGCGGGGAAGAGGCCTTTGTTCGCAGAGGGTCTGACCTCGAGTTTCCGGGCTGTGGACCCTCCTTGGTTCACAGGTCCAGGCGCCAAGCTGATGGAGCTGAGGCCGTGCAACGTTGCGAGGGTGCCACTATGACACATCCAGCCGGGGTGCTATATGTCGCTAAAGCCTGTCCCAGGCGAGACCGCCCTTTGGGTAGACCACTTGAACAGCCGGTTTCGACTATGACTCTTTGGGCTTTTGAGTCAGACCCGGTAGAGTCAAACCGAGCCCAGCGTGCATGGCAGGCCCATGTCATCAGGCGTGCCGGCTAGCACACAAGGCGGAGAGGGCGACAGTTGCAAACTCTTGGCCAGCTTGGAGGTGTTAATCTCCGAACTAAACATCGAAGACGCCCAAGGTCCCTTTTAAACAGGGCAGTGGTCTGGAGGATAGGTTGTAGTAGAAGCATCTTGTGGGAAACTGCCTAACTGCCAAGCTTTCTGTTGCGAGTTGTTGCGCACGTGTTTTATACGCACAAGCGCGGGAGCGCGTTGCACATTCGCACCTTTTGGCTGACGATTTCAGTGTTACCCCTGTTCATTTAAATGACCCAAATATTTCCTTGGGCATCATCAGGTCTCGCGCTTGCGCGTTGAGAGGTTTCGAATGGCTCTAGCGAATTGACATATTGCCAGCTGACGGCACGTTGCCCCATAGTGCGAAGCCACTTGCGGAGTAATATCACGCTTGAATCGCCCTGGCCCGCTTGCGCCTTTGGGGTAGGATCCCGCCATGCCCGCGGTGATGTTTTGGCCCCCCTAGATCTTTCAGGGGCTCATAGGGGGCAGCCCATCAGACGTCGGCTTCAATTGGCTTGTTCGCAGCCTCGGGTAGTTGCGACAAATATAGAAACCTTCAAGTTTTCTGGCAATGTCTGGTAGTGACCCTGCAAACCAGCAAAAACCCGCAATGCCACGCAGCTGGCGTCACAGGCTTGTCCACACCAGCGTCTCCGCGCTCTGTGGCCGGGATGATCCAGCCTTAGCTCCAGGAGGCTAAACGCCAGGCGTTTGGGGGACGAAGCAGTCTCATTTCTGTTGTGTTTTTTTTGTGCGACCGTCCACTGCGGAGATCGAGGGATACACTGAAGTTACAACCTCTCATTGAGGAGTGGTTGGCTGCAAGCAAAGCAGATTTTTCCAATGACTTTTTGACACAAGGTCCAGAAGAGCCAATGGCATGCCGTGATGGCTTGAAATCATGATTTGCGCATCCTGCAATCTCCGTGGAGGTTGAGGATCGGTGCCTCAGCATCAACCTGAAGCTATTGACGATTGATTGGGTGGAGTGTTGTTTATCACAATTTATGGGATGAAATGGTAACCCCCCCCCTACCCCCGAACATCTCCCCCTTTCTTTAGGACTCCTTTTGCCACTCCCCGAGGGTTCCTCGGGAGTCTTGCTTTGCATGAACTGCACGACGTGACGGGGGGAATCCTTTGGGCCTGCTGCCTTAGGCCAGCGCCCAACTTCACCTGGAACGCGCCCATGGTCGCCCAGGCGCACGGAGAGAGAGCATGCCGCATGCCCACGGCCAAACCAGGGTGGGTGGGGTGGGTGGGGTGGGTGGGGTGGGTGGGGTGGGTGGGGTGGGTGGGGTGGGTGGGGTGGGTGGGGTGGGTGGGGGTTGGTTGGGGTTGGTTGGGGTTGGTTGGGGTTGGTTGGGGTTGGTTGGGGTTGGTTGGGGTTGGTTGGGGTTGGTTGGGGTGGGTGGGGTGGGTGGGGTGGGTGGGGTGGGTGGGGTGGGTGGGGTGAGTGGGGTGGGTGGGGTGGGTGGGGTGGGTGGGGTGGGTGGGGTGGGTGGGGTGGGTGGGGTGGGTGGGGTGGGTGGGTGGTTAGAGTCCCAAAAATGACCTTGGAATCTTTCAGATGTTCCACCGTGCTTTTCTCAGATGAGTTGCACAAACTTTGCGCAATCGCCACGATTCGGGCAACGCGCGGGCATCGTGTCCAGATGCCGCGCAGCATGTCGCCACAGCCAGCCCGGCTCCCCAGCTTTTTTCATGGCAAGTGCGTCTGGATGCGCGGCTGATTCAAGCTGAACCTTGCCACATCCCCTTGCATGCGCCTGTCCCCAACAAGCAGGCTGCGTGCGATCTGAGTCTTTGCCGAGCTGAGCCTTTGCTGAGGCTTCAAATGGCTATGGGCGAAGCATTTCGCCGCCGCCTGTGTCAAGCTCAGCGGGGCCAAGTGTTTTGTTCAACAACAACGATCTCAGTGCCGCACCTCAACATTTTGGCGACTGGTGTTGCGATTGCTTCCTGACAATGCTGGTCAACTCTGGTCGTCCCCCCTTCAAGTATTGACTGGTGAGACGTGCATTGTGGCCTACGCGTCCAGGCCGTGCAATATAGGAGTATCTCTCCGCCACCTGTCGGGCCCTCAGCACACGCCTCACTTCAAGAAGTCTTCAAGAGGGCTGCGCCTTTGATCCCGAGGTGCCGCAGGTGCGATACATGTCTCCCCCTCTAGTTGGCCGTTGACATACAGCTGCCGATAGGTTTCAATGAATAAGACAAGCCGTCAGCAAATGTGCTGAGGACGAAAACAAGCTTGTGGAAGAAGGCAGCTATTTTGTATATGAAAATATCACTCTATTATGTTGGACTGTGTTTGTGATAGTAATACGGTCGATCGGTATGTTAACAAAGCCGCTTGTTTTGATTAGGGTGTGGAATATGTCTTAAACATTTGATGAGGAATAAAGAATGATATGTTATTAATCTCAATTTAGAAAATTAGTTTAGAAAAACAAAAGATATCCAAATTAGTTAAATCGGGGTGTTGTTCTAAAATAATTATTAGAAAATATTGATTTTATTATATGTATGTATATATATATATGTTTATTTGTGTTGGGTATTTTTTTGGTAATTGGTTATGTTGAGTATGGTTTAAGACATTGAGAGTATGGTATTTTGTTGTTGTGGTTTTTGGTATATTGTATTTTTGGAAGAATGCATGGATTTATGAATAATAAGAATTTGATATATATATATAGGATCGATAAAAAAACATATATATATATATTTTTTATTTGTTTTTTAATTTTAGGATTTATTTTAATATTATTATAAAAAAAAAAATGATTTAGGAATATTAATTAATATGTATTTTTTAATTAATGAATGATAAGAATAATACATTATAGAAAATTGATATAATTGAGTTGTTTTTTAATATATATTTATAATATATTGAAATTAATAATTAATTTTATTTATTATATTTTTGTGTTCGATTTGAGAGTGATATCGAAATATATTTATTTGTTTATTTTAAAGAATATATGTTTGGCTATTTGCACTGAATTATTTATATGTGTGTATTAACGCCGTTGGATAGGATTAATAGATTATAAATGGTAATATATATTATTTTTGGAATTTAAAATATATAATATATATTTGAATTATATATATATTAAATGAATTAATCTTATTACAGAATTCTATTCGTGGATCTTGCCGAGATGTGTATTTGTAGAGTAATCTGTAAATAGATTTTGTCGAATATCTCGAAAAATATATGTTTATTTAAGGCATTTATTAATGAATGTCATTAAGTATTTGTTAAGTGTTGCGCAATTTATTAATGGATTTTATCGAATTTCTTGTTAAGTGGTTATTGTTAGTGGGATATTGAGTATTAGGTTAAAATCGAATAGGAATAATTCGTTTAAATTTCTATTATACGGAGGAAATTTCTATAATAATTATATTATAAATGGAGAAAGAAGGGATAGTTCTAAGAGAACCAATTCTTATTTTTTTTTATTAATTATTTTGTTTAATCTAGATTTAGTAGGGTTATTTTTATTTATAATAATATAGGAATTGATTTATTAGAATTTAAATGTTTAATATAATTTTGTTTAAAATAAACTAATATATGTATATTATTTAAAATAATATTCAATAAACCAAAATAATAATAATTATATATAAAAATAGATATTTCGGATTCAATATAAATTAATTTTTAATTATTCAGATATATATATTTATATTATATAAATAATATATTTATTACAAAATATATATATATAAATAATTTATAAATTAATTGATATTATTTATTTTCCATAAATTTTTATTTAATTTATAATTCTATTATTTATTTTATATTAAATATATTATATTATTTATTTTATTTAATTTTTTTTAAAATAATTATGTTTTTTATTTTTTATATTATTTTAGTAAATTAAGTTAAATATATATTTTATTTGTAATTATTTATTGTTTTTCTATATATTAATTTATTTATTTATTTTTATTATTTCATTTATTTTTATAATTTATATTATACATATATATATTTAAATCATACATAATAAACAACAAATAATATCAACAAAATAAACAAATAATCATAATCAAGAATAATAATATAAAACCAATATAATATATAAATATATAAACAAAAACAAACAAATACAAACACACAAACAAACAAACAAACAAACAAACACAAACAAACAAACAAATAAACACAAACAAACAAAGACAAAAACAAACAAACAAATAAATAAATAAGCAAAAAACAAGAACAAAAACAAAAAAATAGAGTAACAACAAAAAATAAAAAAAATAACAATAAACACAAAGAAGAAAAAAACATAAAAGAAAGAAGGGTTAAAAGAAAAAGGAAAAACAAAAGAAAAAAAAAACAAAACGATTCCTTCGATCAACTATTTATAGGTTACTACAATATAATATCAATGCAGCTAACCAAATACAAATAAGTAGTTATAATTATAATTATAATTAAATTTCATTCCGATTCATATTGTTAATTAGCAATAACAACGAGAAACAACATAGACACATATTTTTGGAACCACAGCATCCTCAACAACTGTATGCAAAGTGTGGTAGATGATGCAGATTCAACAGCCTAAAGCTCCATGTCGGCTCCTACCACGAAATCCCAAGGTCCGCCTTCTTTTTTGGCAGTCCCTCCACAGTCTGAACAGAACGCATGCGGCCGCCTGGCTTCCTAGCGCGGCATGCTTGCCCAGCGCACGCAAGGTACCCACGACCCGAGAGGCGACCGGGTTTGTCGAACCAAAGTTCTTGCCTCAAACTGGCGGCTTTTAGTTTGTCGAAAGATCCACCTCAGTAGCCCGAAAATGGTGACAAGACGTGAAAAAGGGCACTGTTTCAAAGGAAATTCGTATGCTTGAAGGACAATCGCTTGTTGATGTGGAAAGCGGGACCCCTTAAACAAACAGGTTTCGTTCACAGGTTGTCCTTTAAGTCCATCAAAAAGGCAAGATGCCCGCAAAACAGGAGACATCCAGCTGGGCCATTATCAGGAACGTACAAATTACTGAACGCGGGTCTCGATTTTCTCTCCCGCTTTCAGTGCTAGGCGCAGCAAGGGACATGCTTTCGTTTAGATGTCAATGAACATCTCAAAGTGGTCTGTTTGATGCTGCCAAATGCAACACCGGACTCAGCCTTCATGTTTCCGCGGCCTGCGTTCCTCACTGTTCAGGAGCTTCTGCCACTCATCGAAGCGAATATCTCGATAGCACCCTACGTCCACCGCCAAAGATTTCTCAGGGATCCCTTTCCCACAAAAACCATCCCCCCAAACGGAATCTCGCTTTGAATTGGCAAGCACAAGGTGGTGTTTAACACCAACACAAGGGGAAGTTACATCTACGTGAACTCACAAACCGACAATAGATGACCAGGAAACAAACCTGTGCTCAATCGGCAACAAACCGTGAGGTTGCGATTCATCCATTGCGCAAAGTTCTAGGGAGCTCGATGTGGGCACGTGTCAATCAGGCTAGGCTTGGCCTCCCTCATTGCCTTTCCTTCAAACCAGCCTGAACAACAAAATAAGCGGAGTCACCCACACAATACAACACACACACATGCACGCGCACACCATTCCTTCTTCAACGTCTTTGGTCTCCATGGAGATATCAGGGGCGGCCTGGCCGCCCCTCTCTGCGACCGCCCTGTGAGACCAAACTGGGCCTGGGGAAGCCGTCAGAACTTGGCCAACATCTCATCCCGCTTGCCAACGTTCGGCTATAGCGGGTAAGACTGGGACAAACCGCTACATTTCCTGGAAGGCTCGCCCCGTTTCCATTGTTCAACCGTCACATCTTGCGAACCTGGGCAACTTGTGCAATCTGGTCGGCCTGCCAATCTTAGCCGCGCCGAACCCCGCAGCAAACCTTTTAGGATGCGGGTCCGACAACTCCATTCCTGCGAAGATGTCCCAAGTCCTTTCCTATGCAAAAGATGCCACGACTGAGTGCCTCGCGGCACCGACAACGCCTTCTGCTGAATCCAATTTTGCTGATTCAAAAAACCAACATGTTAGATGGCTGGTGGAGACCTGCAACTGTCCCCCCAGCATCGCATAACAACAATTGTAGCTAAAACTCAATTTTATGTCATACAAATGCGTTCCTGCTTGTGCCTCCCCAGCATTGCAAGTGCATGGAGCGTGTTGTCTCCCACGTAACGTGGCTTCAACACGCCCGAATTCGGCCCGGCTGCTGCTTTGGCCATCTTTGGCTATTGGCACCATTGCCTAGAAAACTGACACGTAAGTGACTTATATATGGTCCAACGAGCCCCCGCCATCCCATTGAAGTGTCTGAGTGTCTGAAGCGATTTGAGGCCGCCCGAAATTAACCCCCTTCTCGCAAAAACAAAACACAACAGAAAGTGACAAGGAAGACTTGACAGCCGTGCCAGGGTGCTGCAAAACAACATTTACTGCGCTGGTGCAGCTAGCTGGCGCGCCGGCGACTTATTCGTACTTCCTGACTCGCTTCACTCTGCTGAAGGGGCTGATGGAGTCATCGAAGATGTAGCGCAAAATGGCGCCTAGCCATTTTTTGGTCGCCCCCCAGCCAGCAAACGCGTTGGTCTTCGCTTACAAGGCGTCTGAACCGGGCGAAAGGTTACTTCTTTCCTTCAAGAGGGAAATTAGGGGGGGTGGACCCCACGAAGTGTGCGGACAGCAGGGTCCTTCGCGGAAGTACCTTTACAGGCGACAGGATTCGTGGCTCCTGAGCCGATCTGGCTTTTGAAGGACTGGGCATTCATGCCCCGTCACACTGATAGAAGACTTTTGTTGACAGTTGCCAGAGGAAAAAAAAAAGAAAAAAGAAAAAAAACATGTGGCCAGATTGACTGGGCTGTGGTTTAGAACGAAAAGAGAGACATGGGTGACATCCTGCTTTCTAGCGGAACCTCACGTCGCTGGCACAAGAAAGTTCACCCTTGGTCGCGCCTGCCGGCTGTCGGCCACATGCCACCAGAAAGTGCTTCGCAATTTGTTTCTTCGGGATGCCCCGAATCTAACTGAGGAAAGGTCAGCGCCCTCGAGCTGCCCGAAATGAACAGATCCAAAGCCCACAGATCCAGTCCATGGGGCCAGGGGGTGCCGCCTTCATTTGACACGCCCAAAGCGACGTAGTTGAGCCAAGCGCAGCTTTGCATTCTTGCAGCGTGGGCGCAGTTTTTGCAAGGTGTCGCTTTCTGCGTGCGCTCAAGTGCTGCTGTCCATAAAGTTTGCGTCCTGAAAGCAAAGCATGCAGCACTGTACCTAAAAATTGAAGATCTCCCAAGCTGGCCTTGGGCACCCAAGACTGTTTCTGGCATGGAATTTTATCTTTTTAGGGACGGCCCAAGCTTCCATAAGTTCCATCAACTAAAGAGCTGCCCCTCTACGAAAGAAAACGTTCAGACCATGACATTTTCTCTGGCTTGCGCGTGGAACGCCTCCAATCTGCTCACCTGATTGCCGGTTTGTGTTGCGTAGGGGATTCACAAATATGCAAAACTGCCTGGAATCTTCCTCTTTGTTGCAAAAATGGAACTCCATCCCTCATTTCGCGCGCATTTGCGAACCCCTGAAAGACTGCCAATTCGGCTTGTTTTCCGTTTCCAGGTCAAAGAAAACTCGGCCTCTCCGCCGCTTTGTTTGCAACCTCCTGCCTGGCCAGGACTTGCACTGCGGCAGCGTGTCGTAGTACCTGTGGGGCCATGTTTGGAGCCGCGAGTGAGAGAGAGAGGGAGAGAGATTTGGGCAACTTGGCAAGCACGGATCCTGCCTGGCTTTGAAAGCCAAAAAGAAACAAAACAGCTGACACCTTGACGCTGAGGAACTTTATGTTGGAGATAACTTGATTCATCAACCCAGTGTAAAGTGGTGCGCCTGCCACGAAATCCAGCGTCAGCAGGCTCAATGCATGGCGCCCTCCACAAAAAAAGACCGCGTGACCCAGCCAACCGCTCCGTGCTAGCCATGCGTTCCAGCTACGCCCAAGTACCGGACCCGCCACGAAAACAGACTGCATCACCTAGTCTGAAAATAGTGCGCCTGCCATGAAGCCTGGCTTGAGCACGAGAACGGACCGCAAACAGATCACCCAGCAGTGGGTGTCTTGCCTTCATCATGTCTGTGTATCGGATCTGCGTAGACTTTGGGCGGTGCTCCAGATGCAGCGGATGCCTGCGTCTGCGCTGCAGCTCTTGCATTTGCTTCCTGCACTGCTTGGAGAAAATGCGGTGATTGCGCTGCAGTCGCTGGCATCAAATACACAAGATTGCTTAAAAACACAGAACATCCGCGCACGCTCCCCCTCTACCCCAAAACCATCGCGTCCATCCAGCAATAGTCATAAAACATGGAGAATTTGCAAGGGCGTCTACGATGGGCTACCTAACTTCAGGCCACTCTTTTTGATCCATATGCACCCTAAGAGGAAAATACGCACAAACAGCACTCGTTCGTGCACGTGCATTGTCACATTCGAGCCCAAAAAAACACTTGATTCATTACTTTACGATTGTCCAGTGAAACCTGCTTGATGCTATATGATGCTATCGACATATTGAAAATTGGTTTGTTGCAACGCCCGCCGTGTTCGGGAGCCTTGTAGACTTACCAAGAACTCCTGTGGAAGGTTGTTCGGTTGAGAAGCGCTCGCGGTTTACCCTCATAAGCTTCTGCCCTGCTCGCGAAACATTCCATTTGCCTATGGTCTCCTAAACTTCATCAGCGCCCAAGCGCAAACCTCACTTCAAGTCTGCACGACCATCATCGCTTTAGCAAATGGCAAACACGTCTCAATCTGAACAAACGTTGACTCATTTGTGGACGGACAGAACAACGCCTCATTTTCCCCCCTACTTCAGGAGGAGGGGGGTGGGGCGCCCACAAATGAAATTTTAGGGGTCCCCCCTCCCCAATTCCATTTTTAAAGGGGTGGGGATGCCTCATTTTGCGGCCGTCTCGCCCGACAAAATCCATGCCAAAGGCGCTCCGGCGCGATCTCCCGGACCTTGGGCAGGTTGGACCAGGGAATGTTCGGGAAGTCGTGGTGCTCCTCAGAAGCCAATGGCTTTTCCGAAACCCCAATCGGACTATGCTCCGTTTGAAGGGAACCTTTGCTTGGTTAGCAAAGGTTCCAAGTGGTGGGAGGGGAACGCTCAATGTTCCTGCAAGGCTTTACAGCTATATAATGAGTTGTGCTGAATAGAAGGTCGCCAATGATGTGCAAATAGAATTGTTTCCGGTTAGGGAAAGGGGGGCATTTCTGCTGTCGTTGGATGCATAGGGTCTCTTGACAAACTAACAGGGCAAGTTTGTGCGGAAATCACTCCATGGGCAAACCTCACCAGCAAAGTGAGTTGCTTCCTCGAAGTTCGTTTCCGCTTTCCACATCCCCACCCTGTCTGGCCCCTCTTCTTGCCTTTTTGCGAAGAAGAAACCGGGGCGCTGGGCAACTGGCCCAGCGGTAGTATCAAACACTTCCACTACGATGCATACTCGGCCAAGGCGCATTGTGGTAGCCCACGTTGTAGGCAAACCGGTTCAGAGGCCCATAGTACGAGTAGGTCTCCTGAGCGGAAACAACTAGACAACTAGAACAACGCAACTAAATTTGGAGTGGGAAGGGGTGATTTCACGTGCCAAGCGGCAGCCTGGCCATCCATCACGTAGTGCTCTGCAATGAAGTGGCCTGGCGGCAGGAAACACAAAGCTTCGTGTTGGTGGGGTTTAGGGCTGGGGGAGGCTTCGAATGTGTTGGTGGTGTGCGGGCTTTGGGGTTCTGGAGTCTTGGCGGCTGTTCGAAATCCCTGGTTGAACATCTTATCAATCCGCTATCCGCGCAGGTTGGAATCCCAACACGATCCCTGGTGGGGAACCGCGACTTCAAAAGGAAACCGGGGAACCCAATGGAATCCAAGCCATATTTTGTAGGTCAAGCATGCCCGGCTTCTGCCTCTGAAGACGGTTCGCTGTGTGAAAGAAGCTGAGAAAACAGAGTTGGACCGCTTAACTCAGTAGACAACCCTGGCACGCTTTTCTCACCAAACAGTCGTTTCCGGCACACCCAACAACTACAACCGCTCGACGCCCTTTTTGCGCGCCTGCGGTTGGATGAATGGAGCCAGCAAAAAAGGTGGAGAGCAGGAGGTAGAGCATCTGAATGCTGTTTCCGAATGGAACCCCCAGAGCGAAAACGATGATTCGGCTTCCCCTACTTTTCTTCTTGAAAACAACACCCAAAAAATACTGCGGGCGCGGCCACCCATAAACCAAGGCATGATGGGTTGACTGCCTCCTTCAGAGAATGGAAACTTTGTCGGGACCAGTTTGAAGCAACTCTCCATGATAAGGGTAATCAACATCAGCAATGTGCAGAACAACTAGGCGAAAAACCAAGGCTCTCCCCTTAGGACATAATATTACAAACCTTCTTGGGCAAAGCTCCGGCCGAGGGGTTCTCATGGCACTCCTGACCATCCACGAGTTTGTTGAGTCTCGACACGAAGATTGCGCCGATACCATCCGGCGGCTTTTCTCAAAATCGGGCCCAAACCGTGTCCGTGTGAACCTTCCAAACAGAGGTCCCCTCATTTTGAGATGGACCCGCACGCCATTTCGACGGAAGGGTCAACCTGGTTGCGGGGTGTGTTTGCCCAGAAAGCGCAGGGTTCACTCAACATTGGGATATCATTTGCGCAAATGGGTAGGAATCAGAGCCCTCCCCTTCGCCGCGCCCTCCTCAAACTCATAAATCAGAGCGGAATATATTGGAATGATATCAGTATGATCATTGGTTAAGTTTTTGAGCGCAGCCTCTTGCCAACTGTTCAAGCAAAGCAAAAGCAAACAACCACTCTTTTGACATATTCTATACGGACGGCGGAGATTAAAACGTTGCCAACCTTCTGGCTGAAGCTATGGGAAACCGCCAGCAGCAGGTGATTCATCGTAAAACCTGGTCAGCTCGGAAAAGACGGTTCCCGCTGAGGGCTCGGCCGCATGCCACCCAACCTCGGAGAGGCAAGCTGCCGCTAGTTGCTCCCCATGCGGGGTTGGGAGGAAAAAAACAGCTTTCAGAAACGTCTGCTAACGGCTCCCGGTAGATACCACGTCGATTTAACGCGACGCATTGCCGGCACGACTACGGCAAAGCTTGGAACATCAAATGCCAGCGGAGATATTCCAGGGCTTTAATCAAACATGCTTGTAGGATTCAATCCAACGCTTGGCTTTTTCATCAATTCGGGTACATTCCATTAAAAGTGCGCTCGCTTGTTCTACAACTTGAGCTGGTTTCAAATGTCCTTATTGCATTGAGCCCGGCATTGCTACTGATATTCCTAGCAATGGGAGAACTGACACTAAAAAAACAGGCCACGAGCACACAATCTGAACTTAATGATTGCTTCCTGCAATGTGATGTGGTAAGCCTTGATAATGACCCCAACAACATATAACATATATGTTGCTAATCTACTTGATGGAAACGACTCACTCGTTACTTACAAGACTTACATGTCTTAGTCTAGTTCGCTGCTTTCACCACCTTCGGTAAAGCAGACTTGACAGGAGGCAGCACCAAAGTTCATCAAGACTGCAACAGATTGTCTGATCCTATGTGTCCTATTACTTGTGCAAGTTCTGAAGTTTACAGTCAAGACCTTGGTTTTTCAGTTTCAAGAACAACTCGCTTCAAACTTATTTGCCGAACACCAAAAGTGCCAGATAGTAGTTACACAGGAATTAACACTAGATCAGGACAGCAACTTCTATTCCGCGTAAAGCCATCTGGTTCTATGCTTCCTGCTTTGATGCCAAATGCCATCTGTATCACGTTGTCTTCTCTCACGTTTCCCTTCAACCAGCTCAGGAGCATTGACCAGCATGAAGTAGTCGAAGCAGGCCATGACCTTGGCTCGGACCTTCGGACCTTCTGCGATGTGGGATTGTCTCATGCAGTCAATTTCTTTGCCGAAAGGCAAAGCTTAAGGGGCCCGAGCCAACATTGATCCAAGAATATGGAGCCAACAAATCAGCCTGGTGATCTGGTTGTCGTTTGGAGGCACAAGTCACGGCACAAGGCACAAGGAGCAACCCTGACATGCGTACAATTTTGCAGGAATCGCCTGTTTTGCTTCCTGCCCTCTTTGCCGCGCACTTCATTGACCCACATCACATTTTTAACAGCTTAAGTACCATGATCCGAACAGCAGTGTCGACTGTTTTGCAGGGAATTCCAAGTTCCGCAAAGGAATGGAGCCGTAACCAAAATTGCGTGTGGCAGGCGGCGCCAGCGCCTTTGTGTCGTGGCTGCAATTGAGAGAACCCCCCCCCAGTTGGCCGCGGACTGAGACTTTCCCTGAACCATCCTTCCAAGGAGGCAAGTCCCCGGGAGAAAACATGTACAACCTAGAGGTAGGAAAGCCTTGCTTGGCTTCTGGTTGGCAAGTTGGAAACCACCAAACAAATGCAATTCTGTGGGAACATATCCATCATAGTGGTTTCGACCCCACCTTTAATTCTGAATGAATTAAAATGATGCGCCAAGCCCAAGGAGTCCCAAGAAAGGAAACTTCATGTGAGTTCGCAAAGCCATGGCCCTATGTCCAGAACTGGCTACCGGAGTGGCTTCCTCTGTGTGAGCCGAGGCGCGAGGAAGTTGCACACAACCCAGCCATCAACTGGCACCAAGTCCGGCTTGATGAACATGGGCCGCAGAGCATAGGCGAAGATCTGGAAGAACATGAAGATGGCCTGGCAAAAACAAAACATACTAAACATGCTCAGATCTGATTTTATTGGTGTCCTAGTGGCAGCTTCCTGGGCGCGGTCGGAACGCATAAGGGAACCGAACAGCCACAAGAAAGGATTCTAAGCCAACAAATGGTATGATTCCGAGGATCGGCTCGCTAGATCCGACGTGGCAAGGTTCGCCCTGCGTGTCCTCGTTTCCACTGAATGCGGTCCGTACATTGGTGGTCTACACCTTGGGGTTCTATACTCTGGGCCCTTTTGCTTCAACCAAAGAGGAGGTCAAAAGGTAAGCCTGCATCTTGGTATGGACGGTGTGTCTGTGTGTGTTGTCCCCCTTTCTTTGCTTTTTTGGGGGGGGAGGGGACAATCCGTTTTAGTTTCCTCCAACTGGCATGGCCCTGCGAGACTTTTGGTTCGCGGGGCCCCCTGACCCCCCGCGGACCAACCTCCCAAACTACCCGCCTTGCGAATCGTGTGGTCCACGCGGTTTACCGCGCTGCGAGTGATCAAGTATCCCTCCAGCATTGTCGGTACGTCCGTGTCGATGCCATCCACCCCCTGGTTTCTGTGGTGCGCCATGTGATACCTCCACACGTCTGGCAGCATCTCCCATTTGCAGTCTTCGGTGCCATAAAAAAGAATTTGCCAGTTGTGACCACCTCCAAAATCAAGGGTTCCTAAGAACACCTTCAGCTACAAGTACAATTTTGCACTAATTCCTATTCCGTGCAGCACGCTCGAGGTGACTTCTTTTCTTCTACACTCTGTATAAGAAGCGGCTGCAAACAAAGTGTGACTTAAGCCGCTTGCGGTGCTCGTTCCCAGTGCAATCTCGGGCCGATGATTTTACTTCTTGCATTTCTTTCTGTTCTTGGCTCTTGATCAAAGATTGCTGCTTTATCTCAATATGCAACTTATTTTTGGCCATCTATGTTTGTTCTTTTGTTGGCCCCGTTCTTGTGTTATTCCTTTCTTTCTTTCTTCCCTTCTGCTTCCCTTGTTCTTCTTCTTTTCCTTCTTGCGTTCTTCTTTTTGCTTTTTCCTCTTCTGTTCACGCTCGTTTTGCAACAACCCGCCAAACGTCAACGGGCATGCCACTGCACTCCTGGTGCCGTACGGGGTCCACCGAGGCTTGTTTGGCTAGCAGGAGTCAAACCGGACTGGAGCCGGGACCCTTTCGAGACCGCCTTCTCAAGGGGCGCCGTGCCCCATTCCTTTTGAACATCCGAATTAAGTGGGGTGAGACTCAAGGTTGGAGCCTGCACGGTTGATGACCAACAGGAACACGAGCACAAAATGAAGGGGATCCCTTTTGAGACCAAGTGTCAAAAATGTTCTTGCAGGCACCATGGTGAATATCCAAGCAGCCTTTCGGGCTTGTTTGGTCCTGGCGCCCAGTTGGAAACCAGATGCCAAACGCTTAGAAGCTGCGGCAAACGCTATGACACAGGGATACGGATACACCGCTGGGACACTGCCAGGGCGCCGACCCCGGAAAAAACTGGACGCACTTAGAGTTTAAGACCCTGTGGGCTTTACTAGGGAAGCCCAAGCTCGCCTCCCCAAAAGACCCCCTCTTAAGGCCCTTTGCACCTGTGCTGCTGAGGCGCGGCTTGAAGGTGATGCAGTACGGGAACACCACAGGCAGGTTGGCCATCATGCCTTTGCGCAAGAACCCGAGTCAAGCAAGGCCTCCTCAGCCAGGGGGAATCGGGAGAAAACCCGCAACAAAAAGGCAACTATATGTTGCCATGTTGGTTAAATCACTTCCACCAGCCACCAGCAAAGGTGACATGCTATAGCCTGTGACAGGGTGAGTGCACCTATCCACGCATATACATTTATGATAATGTGCGGTGCGCCCCCTCCCCATGGACCTGCGCCTAGTCAACAAATACGGCAAAATAAATATAATGTTTCAGTGGCAAAACGAGGGGTCAAACACGGCATCCCTAGATCAAACAAGAAGGTCCTCTATGTGAAAAAAACAACTTTTAACGCTTTTGGAACAACTTCGCCAGGATCCTGGCGGCGGCCACACCTAGGAAACTTGCAAGCATTCGGACTTGAACGTTTTGTTTCATGCGAAACTTGGACCCCGGCCACATCTAGATCCCAGCTTGCGCAAAAACCTCTTCGTAATCTCGGCCACGCCCAGAAAACTTGGAATCTCTCAGAACAACTTGACAGTTTTGTTTGATTGGATCCAAGATCCAAGTTCAACAGAAAAGGAAATGCCAAGGCTTGAAAAAGCCCGAAAACCCCTGCGCCAGCTTCACAATCCCTCGGCAGCCTGCTGCGAGGCAACCCTATTGAAACGGAAGATCTTTCTGCCCTCCCGTGTCTGAAGACATTTTGCGTGAAACAACGGTTAATGCTGCTGAGGAGAAACTAACGGACCTGCTGGATGATGCGTCACAACTCTTTGAACCCAATGAAGCAAGCACTCCTCGAAACTTGTTTTGGCACACTTAGATTCCTCCGTGGCAGGGCTTTGAGTCTCTCAGTGCCAAACTCACCAGAGCAATCTTTTTGTGTTGGCTTTCTTAACACCCACCCACGAGAACTCACTATGATGCCGCACGTAACAACCCACTGAACTTGCAGACCCGAGTTCATTTTACCCGCAGCTTTTTTTTGGGCAGCGTGTCCAAGCGAGGCAACCGGCAAAGGCGCCAATGACCTTGTTCGCCGCCGCCGACTGGGCCCCCAGGTTGTGGGCCAGCTCGTGGACGGCCAAGAAAAGCCTGGTCAAAACATGGGGGCTCTAAGCGCCAATTTTCCCATGTGGAATTGCTGGGAAGCGCAGTGGAAAGGCTGTTGGTTGGTTGGTTGGTTGGTTGGTTGGTTGGTTGGTTGGTTGGTTGGTTGCTTGGTTTGTTGGTATGGCAGCGCCTTGGCCACAAGGCCACGCCGTCCCCCCTGGCAAAGCCGGGGGCGTGGGGTTCGAGTAGGGGGCCAACTCATGCAGCCAAGCGACACGAACAACGTGAAGACGAATTGCGGCAAGGGGGAAAAAAGGACAGGTGAACACACGACGAGCAGGCCAAGGTCAAGAGAGCGACCACATGGGGCGGCAGAACTGCATGAGGGAGAGCAGCACCTGGAGAGAAACGCCTGGCGGCAAGAGGTCAGGAAACTCAGGGCAAAGCGACACATAGGGTTGAGTGCCCTGCCAGACATCGGCCTGCGCCCAGGCTCAAGTTTGAACGGGGCCAGTGTTGAAAGCCAGACGGACGACCAAACAGTCGAGAGCACTCGGGTCGATGGACCGCCTCCTCATACTCACCAGACCAGCGCCGCCAGCGAGGGAATGCAGCACACAGAAAGGGGTCAGCCAAGAAACGAACCTGAACGACGAACCCACCTGAAAACCCCATGAGCGAGCCCAGGTCCATCGTATCATCAGGAGCCTCGAGGTCCGAGACAGCGTCAGCTGAGCGCAACATGCTGAAAGGGGCCACAGCGACTGCACAAGAGCACAACCCCTGCCAGCAAGCTCTCTCCATTGCGGTTTCTTGGAATTGTCCCATGGTTTGCGGACCACTGTGATCCTTGAACCACTTCTCGGCTCTTCGTTCTGTGCATCGAGTTGATGAATACAGCTTTGTTCATGTCCACGTGGTTCTTGTCCCCGACCTGTCTCAACAAGTTGTGCGCTTTGATCAACTGTTCCTTCTCGCGGTTGCTTCGTCTCGATATAAGGGGAAAGGAAAGACGAAGTCATTGAAAAGGACACATGGACGCAAATGGGAAGGACATGGAAACGACATTGAAGCAACGTGGATTGAAGAAGGAATGTTGGAAAGCAAATAAACAGGACATGGAAAGGACATGAAAAGCAAGCAATGGAATTCAAATGAAATCAAAGTGGCATCAGAAACAAAGAACCTTTGCCGCTTCAAAACCAGGGCCAGAAGTGGAAAGAAATGGAAAGGAGAAGGATAAAGTGGAATGACGAGAAGACCAGTGCCAGCTTGCCTGGAGCTGTTGGTGTGCAGTGGCTGGGTCCTGAAGCTCCATTCCCGGCCGATTTGTCACGCACAATCCTCGAAGGCCAATTCAGTAGGTGTGTCCTTTAGTTTTGGAATCTATAGTCAGCTTGGATTCGGGTTGTGTTGGGGAATTCTATGGTGTACTTGTTGGGAACCCTCAGTATGTCCTCATACAATGAGGACATAATAGTTGCCTTCATCACGAAAGCTAGCGGCGGCAAGCGTGAGTTCCTACATGCAAAGCAAGTGTTCCGAATTGTGCACCACTGTACCAAATGTCCTTCCATGTTTCCTTCCACGTCTTGCGATCGAAGGGGTCAAAGCTGAAGCCGCGCGGGCGTAATCGCTTCTCAAAAAAAAGGGGGGGCCCTAAGAGAGCTTCCGGAAGAAACATGTCTGTGCTTACTGGAGGGCAGGGTCCCCACGGCACTGGAGCCCCTTCGGAGGAAAGCTTCAAGCTTTGCTGCTCGGCATCTGGGCGTCTTCTGTTTCAGGCGCATCCTTTTGGCCAAGCTACAGGCCAACCGCCCATTTTGTCTTGGGGGGGCACCCACAAAATCAGTAGGCGCAAGATTTCTGGCCACCTAGATAGAGGAAAACTGAGATTCTATGACTTCTTGCATCCAGCCACTTTTCGACAAGGGCTAGCCCCTTGGGGCGAACTGGTCAACCGCAAGGATTGCACTCTAATCCGAAGCGGTAACATTCCTCAGCGTCTAACAACGGGAAGCAAATCAGCTCCAAGGGTGACCTTTGGGGGGAAGGTGGGCACCAGGCATGCACCCTTGGTTCTTCCCAAGTCCCAACTCAATCCAAGCCGCGAGTGATTCGCAGTACCCCCAATTACGTAGGCGGCAACCACAAACCTGGCAAGGGATACCACTGTCCCCATGTCAGAGCCCCCCCCCCCAAAAAAAAAAACAGCCTCCAAACGCACGAAAGCCTGGTATGGTTGCACCAGGATCTCACTCGAACCACTCATCTACATTGCAGCATTTGCAAGACTGCGTCAAAAGTGGTTGGTGAGTCAACGTGAATGAATACCCGACAATATTACCAGGGGACTACCCAAAACCGATAGCCACCAACCAACAAAAACGATAGGGGTATACCAAACAAAACGATCCGGTAGCATTGTCGAACGGGTCCCATTGCGATTTGGCACAGCGCCATGTGCCGGTACATGCTATCCCCTTTCACCCCCCCCCCCCCCCGGTCAACTTCAGGGGTCTCCCACCAATGGCACAAACGACCGGCTGAGTCTTAATCTTTCGAAGGCCTCGCGTCGTTCAAGCCAAACCACGAGAACAAACGCGTCTATGGCTGATTACCTGAGCATGCGCAAGTAAGCCACATGTAAACCACCACAACAAAAGAGGTAGAAACTGTACAGATCTGCCACTCCACCAGACTTGACACCCCCGACGTTCAAGTTGACCTGCTGGGGCGACTGTCCACAAATGATTACAGTCATAACACATAAGCACAACGCCTAACGCAAAAAAGCCCTCCTGCGAATGGCAACGTTTTCATATTGCCAACAAGTTGAGGGACTGCTTTTTGAAAAAGGGGTGTCCAAAAAGCAGGCCGCGTTCGGGATGCTGTTCGCTCCACGTGAGATAATTCAAAGAAACTGGCAAGACATTCTGCTTTGGACTCACGCCAGAGGCAAAGAGGTCTTGGCTCGTTGCCGATTTTGAAAGCTTGGAATTTACCGGCATAAAAAACAACTGCCACGTTTTGGAGATCGCTTGAAACCACCTCCTCGCGCTCCAGCTCCGGGCAAAAGCCAATTTCTGGAAGCAACCCTGAAAACCGATCCCCTTGTCCCATTGTCGTCGTCTCCGTGTTCCGGAAATCCCAACTGCAAGAAAGGCCAAAGCGCCAGAAGACGGAGCACCGCTTCGCGAGGCAGGCCATGGCAATCTGGAGGGCCACTGTAGCCTTCGAGATCGAAGGCAGTTGCCTGATGTGTTTTGATTAAATCAAGGGGAAACCAAGAACAGGGGACAACTTTTGGGGATCAGGGAAGCGAAATTGTCAAGAACTGAAACCACGTCTCATTGCTGCGCCTCTGGTGGAACCCGCCAGAACTTGCACAGCGAAGAAGTGTTGCGGCTCCTGCAGGAAGTTGTCCATTTGAAGCCTTTCCCATATCCGAATCCCAAAACGTGCCTGTGCACAAATCGTGGTGGACAGGGGTCGAGCGGCCCCTCCCTCAACAGAACAAACTAGGTGGGCAGTTCAACGACTTCTGGGATGCCGGCCTTCCCAACAGTTCCAACTCGCATCACAATCTCCGGGGTGAGAAACTAAGCTGATACCAACACGTTTGAAATGTTTGGCTGAGTTGCTGCATCCATGTTGGTTGTTGGCAGGGAACGTGGTTAAGTCGAGCCCTTTCGGATTGTTTTCAAGGGAAATCAAGTGGCAGAGACCTCAGAGAAACCCATGGGCCAGGTGTTCCAGTGCTACGTGCTCCTTGCCATAAGGCGGCATGCGGGACCTTTTTGGAACCGATTTCCGCAGGGAACCTCAAAGCAAGCTGAGGCTGGTTTCATCCCTGACCCGTTAAAAAGGAAGTTCTTCAAAACGGGCTGGGTTGCTGAATGGTACCAAGGGCTCGCCTAGAACAGAGAGGTAGAAGTAAGCAAGGAGCAAAGATGCCCATGTTCATCGATCGGACGGATGCAAGGACTTTGACCCTTCCCATTTCACAGACACCGTGTGCTCGCGCAAATGAACAACCCCAAAACTCGTAAAGAATCTTTTGGGGAGTGGGCCCGAAAGGACCCCAAAGCATCGGGGGATTGAGCTTCCCAGTTCGAGCAGCAGCGACAATGTACTTCGTCCGCCATTCTGGCTTCATCAGGCCCTTGATCTCCTGAGCACGGCAACTTTGCAAACTGATTCCCTTACAAGTTTAGACCATAAAAGATTGGTAAGTCCGGTGGGGAAATCAGTGAGTCCCCATCCAGTTGACCGCGCCCCAGATAGACCTGCCACAAAAGGCCGAGAAGACCAACAAAGCAGTCCAGCCTGCTAACCTTACAGCCACGAAGCTCAGTGATTGAAATGAGTATGCACTTTCTTTCAGGTAGACTTTTTTGACGTTGACTTAAGGGAACCCGAGCGAACCATTCCTTCTTAGTGGCCTCCTCTCTTTTGAGACAGTTGCAAACCATTTGGCCTGGAAATCAGATCAAACTCACTTTGTTACTCTTTCTGCGGGGGCAGAGTGCCATCCGATCCCGAATGTTGGGGCGACTTGCTTGCTCCTTGCACCCGCTAACCAGGGGTTGTCCTTACGCAGGTGGAATCCTGTAAATTTAGTGGAAGCATTTCACTGGAACCCCAAAGGGCCCAAAAGATTAGTGGCATGAGACCATCTTAGATCCATGATGATCCATGCCTGGACCATATGCCAGAAAATGTCGACCAAGATGGCTCTCTGTTCGGCAATGGAGGTGGACAGGGACATCTGTCCACTTTCATTGTCGGCAAAAGGGTAGTCAACCCATCGGATTGATAGAGAGTGCGACCCCCCTATCAGCCGGGCCGCCTCCTAACTGGGATAATTACTCCCCCCAATCCAAAGCGATCCAATCCACAGCGAGCGGTGCATCCACAGGATCCTTACATTATACACCTGAGCATTGCCTTGTAAATTGTGGTTTCCCTTTATTTTGGTGGAAAACGCCATGTTTCAAATGGGCAAAATGTATCTTTTAAGGAGCCCTGGCCCATCAACCGGGTTCCTCTTGTCGTCGCTCGGCTTGCTGCTCAGTGGCTGGGTGCTTTTTCAGGATCTCCGCGCGCCTGGTGGCATGTGGCTCCAAGTTGTCCGCAAAGAAGAAGTCCCTGTCCTTCGTGCGCAGACGTTTTTTCGTTTAGAGTAAGGGATCTTTCTTTGGGCTGCAGGTTTGAAGGGAATTCAAGAGCAACCACAATCTTGCTCATAGGTGCCTACTTTGAGAAACACCCGTATTCCCAACTTGATGCAGATTTGATCAAACCCACGTGATTGGGGGTGCAACCTTTTTAGAGGGCATCCAGATCAGGTTTTACTAATCGCCATTTTGATTAGTCCGGCGACAACAATTGTGCGGTGTCCATGCTCATCCACTTGAGAATGACAGATTCCCTTGGATTGCTGCTGCCATTTCTGAAAAGTTACGGGGGGGGGAGGGGGGAGGGGGGAGGGAAGCTAAACAAAACCAAACGCTTTTTATGGGTTGCATATTCATGGACAACTCCCATAATCGCAAATTAGTACATCCAGCCATGCTCCCCCGACCAGCCAAACGCGGCACTGGCACCCCTCCGCACGAGGGAGGTGCTTGCGCAGTCCGTCTGCAGGTTCTCAAGTCAAAGGGCAGAAAGGCAGTTCAATGGAAGGAGCCAACCTTTCTGGCTGCAGGGCTGGGATCACAATTCGAGGGAGAAGCCTGGGCAGAAGCAGCGCTTGGAAGGACGAATAGTAAACAAGTAAACATTCATGTCTGAATGAAACCAGCCGTGTTCCTCCCATAGGAGACCGGTGAACTGGCTCACCCCATTCAACCCGGGTGATCCTAGCCCAGTACCCAGGGTCTGTTCTCTCCCAGGCGCACTCATCTCCGAGCCTCGCGAGCCCATGGCGCCTGTTGAAACCCCCGACACGGCTGAGGGGTTCTTCCCGCGAGCTGGGAGCCAAGGAATGCCGGTGGCAGAAAGTGGATGGCCCCGCATGGCAAGTGCGGGAACTGGGAAACCGATCCAACTTGCCGAAACTGTGATTTTGCGGTTGAACCCCCTTCATGTACCGAAGCTTGCCATGGTTTTGCGTTGAATCTGTTATGGCTTTAAGATGCTTTAAGGTTGAGTGCGGTTTGCTTCCACATGGGACCTGGTCCCGCATCCACAGTGTCATCGCTGCAAGCATCACAAACACCGATGAGAGGGAACAGCCACAGGACCCGACACCTGCTCCATCTGAATTTGAGGTGGGGACGCTTTTGGAGCCAAATTGGAATGACAATATGATCCGAGTCCCAAAAGCCATGGCTTGGGATTTCCCCCCGTCCGCAGGGGGCACAAGATTTGCCCGGGCTCTGTACATCGGGCACTTAAATTCTTGCAGCTGCATGGAGCTCAGTCCGAGTGCAGCTGGAAGAGGGAAGCTTCAGGGCACATCTGGCCGTCCACCGTGGTGCAGGCAACGGTCCGCGCTTCCGGCGCTGCAGTAGGCACGAAGCTCGCGAAATGGGCCCAGGAGTTGTCCTGAAGGGCGTTGCTCAAATTTAACAAGAGCGTACTTTCGGATCCAACTTTGCTTCTCCCAGGGGGTTGAAGGCCTACATCTTTGGCACATGCCAGTTACAGTGGTCCTGGAAGGGCTGATCCCCGAATTCAGCCCTTTCGCCGCAGGCCCAGCCGTAGTTGTAGTGCAGTGCCCTCTTTGATGGCTGCAAGACTTCCGCGCTGACAGTGCCCCAAGGTGCTGCATTCGCATCGTAGGCGTCGCTTCTTCGGGTCCCATGATTGCAAATGCTATACCCCCACCACTTCAAGAGGGGATTGTCTGCTGGGTCGCGCTCTCTGTTGCCGTGGTCTGACAGAATTCCACGGAAGGCCGCCACATCCAAATTGCCACCAAGCTGCCGTGCGAGGTCCTGGCCTCTCAACAAGCGGCATCCGTTGTTGTTCTCCGACACCGAAAGCTCAGCCTTAGCCTCGTTGAAACCTTTGAGCTCCTTCGACTGGTAGCAATTGACCGCCAGAGCCATGCCCGGGTGGTCCTTAAGCGGGCCCCGAAGTGTTTTGAACCCAAGGCCCAAGGCGCAGCTTGCCTCTTTCTTTTGTCACATTTAGATGGCCAATCCGTGCAAAACATAACAATGCCCTAGCTTTCCGCACGCAGTCCTTTGTGAACCTCTGATGTACCGCGGTGCCATGACTGCCGACCTCCACATGTGCCAGACCCCCAGAGGCATCTGCCAGTAGCCTTTCAGCTGTGACATCCGGGCAAACTCAGCAACTATCTAAAACACCTCGAGTTTCTGGGCACCATCTTCAATATCCATCTGAGACGATTAAATGTGCACATACCCACAACAAAAGACAGACAAAGGCTGAGCACATGAAACAGCAAAGTAGCACAGACAAGGCCGGCGCGACTGCGTGCTGAGCTTGAAGCAACTTGAGCGCGCCCTCCACGTCGCTGCACTCATTCATCATCTTGCGGCTCAACTCGCAGAAGCGCACAGGAGGGAGGTCCCCCTCCTGAGCGGAAACCGAGCAAAATAGAAGTTCAATCTTCTGGCTTTCCCAAGCTAAAAGCTTCGTCTTTGGCCCGCCTCGGCTTGTGGCGCTTCTTGCTCCACTGCCAGGGCAATCACGAAGGCGAGGCCCTGAGAGCGTTTCCAGCTGAAAACTCAGCAAACAAGCTGTATATGTTAGAACTGTTATACCTATTTATGCCACTACGTCTTTGTAAGGTATAAACCCCAGGGCTCAGGGAATAATGAGGGTGTTGGACACGTGTTTGGTTCCCGGTGTCTTTTGCCTGCAGTCAGTGGGATCCGAATTTCGAGAACGCCATCCCGGGGGGTACGGGTAACCTGCCTGTGAATTCACCCCGCGGCTGGTTTCACCTGGCTCCACTTGGAAGGGCGGCGCAAGATCGGGCTGCTCAGTGGCATACACCAACTCAGTGCCCACATGCGGGTAGCGGCCTCCGGCGCTTCTGTTTCCAAATCCTTTTCGCGGATAAGAAGAGGAGAACCCGTTGACACGAGAAGAAATCACTTCATAGTTACGCTCTTGAGTATCTTTGGGGACATTGCTTTCAGGCGTGCCATGTGCCTTTCAAACAAGGACAATCCTCGCGGCCTCCGGCGGGCTGCACTACTCGCACGAAGGTGCGGAAAAGGTAAGGGTCGTCGCTGACGCATCCCAGCAATGCTTCTCCCGTCGCGGTGACGCCAGGCCCCGTCGCGCCGATTAGGAAGCACATCCTGAACCGTGAAGCACCTTGGCCAGACTAGCGCCTTGAGACAAAAGTGGCTGCGTAGCAACAAGTTGATCGTGCCTTGTCTTCATTGAAGCCTCCAAAACCACCAGCTCCTTACTGGCAAGTTGGCCGTCGAGAGCCATCTTGTGAAAGCCAAGTAGAAAGCCTCATGCACTAATCGAGATTGAAACTCCGAAGTGTTGGGAGGGGGTTTGTCTTCCCGTTGTGGGACTTTTGTGCACAGGCATTGGCCAACAAAGGGGGCCATCAATTCCCGGAAAACTCGGCAGCCATGTTTATTAAGCGGGAAACGTCGAAACACTTCAGGGGAAGCACAAGAAAATGTGCACTGGAGAAATTGTACAAGGAATTGCGCAAAAAAAACATCGCGCAATAATCATACACAAACGGTTTGTGTGGCTTGCAATCTAAGAAAACATATCATTATGCTTGGAAGCCTTTTGGCTTGGATACCTGCCCATATCAACACACAGCATCTCCGTGAAGACTCTCGACGCCATCTCTTTGTGCAACTCATTTATCGCTCTCTTCTCCGTTGCGCAACCAGCGCTGACAACTGGTTTCCCCTTCAAGTTCTTCAACATACACGACCAGCTCGCGCAATCCTGCAGGGTGCTGCTGAAATGCTGCCACAGGCCGAGACTTAGGTGCCGTTGCCTTATAAGTTGCATGGTGCTGCTGCAGGCCGAGACCAGAGTTCCGCAGGGTGCTGTTGCAGGGTTCTGCCGCCAGACACTAAACAGAGTGAAGGGAAGGTGGCAACCCAATACTCTGCTCATCAAGTGGGAGCGAGCTGAGATGGTCATGCCGAAAACGCCGGGAATAAACATTGTGCTGAATGCGGGCTGACATGCATGCGCAAAGCAGCAGCATGAAAAAGCGCTAGAGCCAATCTTTTTCGCAATGCCTGCGCTGTCTCTACTTAGCCCTCGGCATCCTTTGGAATACCTACGGGTAGTACGTGAGGCCACTCAGGATCCCTGCCGCCAGGAACGTTGACCATGTTTCAAGTTGCAAGATTCTTTTTGCGTAAGCTGCTGTTAGTTCAAGCCTCTGTGCCAAAGCCTCCCGCCCTTGCCCAAAGCCCAAGGACAAGGGAGTCTGACGCTGAAAGGGGCGCCCGCTTAGATGCCTTGCCTGTTCTGCCCCTAAGCAAATCAAAGAGATCTAGGCCACTTTAAAATGTCTAGCCCCTTCATCATGCATGGATGACGGCCTCTCAGCCGCCGCTCAGCTACTCAACCACTCAGCGCTGAGCGGCTAAGTGGCTCGCGCAATAAAAGCTCATCAGCAATGCTTGCCAAACCTTCACAGCCCCGCCTTATCCTTGCACGCGCACAGCGGCGCATGGTGTCCATGGTTATTTTTGTCACAGGTCAAGGAGTTCGCGCTGGTTCCGGAAGTAACTGGAGCGCAGTCATCGGATCTGCTTGTGGAAAAGGGCGTGCCAGCATAGTTGCGGGCTCCATGGAAGCCTTGGTTGATACAAAATGCCGACCTTCCCCTGACAACACGGTGACATACGATGACGACCCCTTGCATTACACTTGCACGCTGCAACATGTTTCGCCATGTGCTGAGAATGGCTCAAAATCTTATTGTGGAGTCGGCAAGTCCTTCTGGTGAATGTCATGATTGCTCTACCCTGGTTCAGTATGCCAAGTGGCCTTTGCAAGTGTAGCCCGCTTCTTTGAAAGCAGCCCCCACGCGATCATTGTTCGTGAGGGACACCATCTTGTCCTTATCCTAAGTACGTGGGCACGTCCAACCACCTAGCTTGAAGCAGGTGGCTGGCATCTCAGAATCTCAAGTACTATGGCTTGAAGCAACTAAGCCTACGATGATTATGCCTTAAATCTTGAAGGGGATGAGCAAGCAGCACAACTCCGATTTCTCGGCCCCGGTACATGGGGGAGAGGTTCCAAAGTTGCCCGTCCGAGTTGCACAACGCTCAAAGCCGTTCGCATTGCAAACCTCAGATTCCAGGACTGTCTCTGCATTGGCTCCCTCATGTATTCTCAGCTTTTGTTCCATTTCATGTGGGACGTAAATGATTTATTTGGGGCTTCTTAAGCTTCGTGTGGCCGACTCAAAGAGCTCCACAACGTCCAAGCTAGGGCCTGCTAAGCGAAAATCCCCCGACTTGAGATAGAACCCTCGAGCTCATTCCTCCCATCTCTCCATGACATGCTTCAACCTGGACAGGCGTGCAAATCTCACCGAGGCGCCTTTGTGCAAGTCTCACCGCCCCCGCCTTTGAACCAGACTTTCTCCACCTCCGCGGCCTGCCCGGCGGCATGCCGTTTCAAGGAAGCCATCGAAAATCCTACTGCACCATGTTCGCGGGTATCGCTCTCCTATGGCTCTCTCCCTTGAGTGGCCACTACGTTCAAATCGACATTGGTTTGTTGGTCAGGAATACGGGAAGGATTCTCGATTGGCCTCGGCCAGGGCTGAGTGGCAGCCTGGTGTAGGACTTTCCGGCTGTCTCATCGCACCATTTGCAGCGACAAAAGCCGAAAGGCAGGATTGAAGAGATTCCGGGACTTGAAGGAGAGGGAAAGAGATAGGTGGAGGGAGAGAAACAAGTGGATGGCCAGGCATTCATCCACTTCCTACATCGTCTCACTGCTTTCCCTTCTTTCATCCGTGTATCCGTTCAAGAGCCTGGGAGAAGGGAGATGAGATGGCCAGCCGGTACATAGCTTGGAGTGGGATGCTGACAGAAATTCCTCACCACGGATCACCTTCCACAGATTCTCCGCAACCGGTATCACCTTGGGATCCTCATAGCTCTCTCTGTTGGCACAGGCTCTTGCCCAATTCCTTCGTCTAGGGCTAGCAGATATTGACAGCCCAGTCGGGTCTTGTCAAGAGGCTTTAAGGGTGAACAAAGAAAAAAGGCCAAGGACTCAATCGATGGGTTGGTTCCCATTCTCTTCCCTAACTTCCTCCCCTTAGCCTCGCCACGGCAATGATTGATTCAAAGGACGAAGTGAGCCAACATTAGTGAGATTGGGGCAGAAGAAACCATCCATCATGATCCACCCCATCTCTCACGATATGTTTTCATGAAAATGCAAATGCTCGCCATCACTGCAAGTAACTTATCATTGTCATGACCTTGTAATCGGCATCCAATGGGCAAAACAGCTGGTTGGTGCTGGTGACTGCTGTTGACACCGATTGATGCTGACTTGATCCACATCGTCGATGCACTCAAGCAATCATGTGGGCAAGCTTAGCATGTTCTGCCTTAAATTGGCGATACTAAGATCTCCGTGCGCTATGCGTTGGGTGCAGCCACTTGCAAATGTGCGAGTCGTACGGTTGATGTGTACTTGTTTACTTGCTCGCCACGTCCAACTTCGCGGGGTTGAACACTTGTTGCTCTGCAAGGAATGAGTCGGTCAGCGTTGCTCTTTTGCAGCGCAGCATGCGCAGCTTCAGTCGTATGCACTACGACAAGCTGTCAGGAAAGACGGACCGGGCAGACTTTTACCGCACCTCTGTGGCTTGAGTTTTCGGGTACGCCTGCGTGGAGCTGGCATTATTGCATTGTTCTGAAGCGAAAAGCCAGTACGTAATATGCCCACCTACCACGCTGGAATATGCTGGATTCGAACGCAAGGCGTGCCATGGACCCTGTGCAAATGGTTGAGGAGCGTGGCCCAGCGACGCTTAACAGCAGGTACACCAGGTATGTTGTTTGTATGCCTGAACGCTTCGATTTGCCAGATCACCAAGCGATTTTTTTTAGTTTGTGCTCTGCCGACCATAGCTTAGATGCTTGCCTGTTCTGCGCCTAAGCAGATCACAGAGATCTAGGCCACTTTAAAATGTTTAGCCCCTTCATCATGCATGGATGACGGCCTCTCAGCCGTCGCTCAGCTACTCAACCACTCAGTGTGCTGAGCGGCTGAGTGGCTCGCGCAATAAAAACTCATCAGCAATGCTTGCAAAACCTTCACAGCCCCGCCTTATCCTTGCACGCGCACAGCGGCGCATGGTGTCCATGGCTATTTTTGTCACAGGTCAAGGAGTTCGCGCTGGTTCCGGAAGTAACTGGAGCGCAGTCATCTGATCTGCTTGTGGAAAAGGGAGTGCCCGCATAGTTGCGGGCTCCATGGAAGCCTTGGTTGATACAAAATGCCGACCTTCCCCTGACAACACGGTGACATACGATGACTACCCCTTGCATTACAATTGCACGCTGCACCGCTGCAACATGTTTCGCCCTGTGCTGAGAATGGCTCAAAATCTTATTGTGGAGTCGGCAAGTCCTTTTGGTGAATGTCATGATTGCTCTACCCTGGTTCAGAATGCCAAGTGGCCTTTGCAAGTGTAGCCCGCTTCTTTGAAAGCAGCCCCCACGCGATCATTGTTCGTGAGGGACACCATCTTGTCCTTATCCTAAGTACGTGGGCACGTCCAACCACCTAGCTTGAAGCAGGTGGCTGGCATCTCAGAATCTCAAGTACTATGGCTTGAAGCAACTAAGCCTACGATGATTATGCCTTAAATCTTGAAGGGGATGAGCAAGCAGCACAACTCCGATTTCTCGGCCCCGGTACATGGGGGAGAGGTTCCAAAGTTGCCCGTCCGAGTTGCACAACGCTCAAAGCCGTTCGCATTGCAAACCTCAGATTCCAGGACTGTCTCTGCATTAACTCCCTCATGTATTCTCGGCTTTTGTTCCATTTCATTTAGGACGTAAATGATTTATTTGGGGCTTCTTAAGCTTCTTGTGGCCGACTCAAAGAGCTCCACAACGTCCAAGCTAGGGCCTGCTAAGCGAAAATCCCCCGACTTGAGATAGAACCCTCGAGCTCATTCCTCCCATCTCTCCATGACATGCTTCAACCTGGACAGGCGTGCAAATCTCACCGAGGCGCCTTTGTGCAAGTCTCACCGCCCCCGCCTTTGAACCAGACTTTCTCCACCTCCGCCTGCGGGCCATGGCTCAGTTTGCTTCTTCAAGCATCCTGTGTTTTCAGCCACTACCCTGCGACTGGCAGACTGGCGCGCAGCGATTTACGTGGAATTTCCAGTGTTCAATGTCCAGAAAATCGAGCTCCCTGCGCGCCTCGCAACCCTTGGAGACGACCCCGCCAACCATGAGCGCATTCGTCTTGATGCTGTAGCTGCTCCCAGCCGAGAAAGATCTTTTCCACAGATGGAGCTCATGGCCGTCGCTCCTCTTGAAGCCAGGGCTTGCCACTTTCGCCCAGTCCCCGCTGAGCGCGGCGTCCACGCCGGCATTGTAGTGGTTTTTCATGACCCACACGTACAGCGTGACTGGAGCAGTGTAAGAAATCGTCCATGTCCCGGCAGAAGGCCAGGTCTTGGTGCCGAAATATGTGCCGCCGATCAGCTCCGTTGGGATGTTCTGCAGCTTGTAGTCCCTCTGACCCGGATTTACCAGAAGCCCCTCCGAAATTGTCGCCGCAGAATTCCAGCCAATGCCCAGTCCAGATGAACCGGTGACAGCGCCGCAACTGACCGCCTGGCAGTCTTTCAGCGTTTTTCCCTGTGTTTAGCTCTACACCTATCGGAATGCATTGGAAGCCGCACCTTCTCGTCACCATACAGTGCTGGGCAAAGCTGCGAGGTGTCGTAGAGGTTCTTCACAAAGGCGCCCTGCCACTGCAAGTTGGGCAAAAGCCGACAAGTCTACAGGTCTACGTCTGCGCTCCCACACGCTCCAAACACCTCTCAGGCTAGGACCCCAACCTCAAGAGACAAAGAACAATGTTCACCGAACTTACTTCACATGCAACTCATTCAGCTGGCTCCCACCCCGTGGTTGATGAAGCCGCTGTTGCCGGTCACGCGATCTTCGTAGGTGTTATCCAACTCGTAGGCCGCCACAAGGCCTTCCTGCCATCGGCGCATGGCGCTGGCAGTAAGCTGCAGTCGGATGTTGTGCCCCCGCCTGAGAACATGCCTTGGGCCCGAGCTGCTGGATAGTCTTGGCCCCCTTCCAGAACATCAAGTGCGCAAACTGACCGCGCTGGTTCACGGACTCTTCCCCGGCGCCCACAACGAAGGTTGCGTCAAAGCTTTTGCCGCCTGTCAGGGTGCACAATGCAACAGTAATGACATGCTTCCACCATGCTTTGACCAAATGAAAGCCCCTTCCAGCTTAGAGCTTGCTGCTGGCTTTTGCAAAGAGTTCGCCTTTGAACTCACGTCTTCCCATGCTGGTCAAAATATCCTTGCCGTCCACGTACATATACACCTTCCCCTGTTTTCGATAGAACACGAGGGCCAAGTGGTGCCACTTGTCATCACAAAGCCGTACTTTGTCACGCTCGGTGTAGTAGAGCTGAAGACCTTGGTTCTCACCACCTAGGTTCACGTTCACCTCGCAGTCGTGCCCGCGCATTGAGACCGACCACCGAAGGCCGGAATCGCGGTTCTTCTGGTGGGCATTGGACACAGATCCGATGATATTTGCATGGTCGCGGCTGGCCTTCTGCACTCTGAACATGACTTCCTTGCGAAGCGCTACGCCTCCAAACCCTGGCAAAAGTCAAAAGCCAAAAGTCGATCAACTGCCAGCAAGCTTCAACGGCGAAAGTATCTGCTGATACCATCTCTTCCAGGTCCGCACCTGTGTTAGCCAAATTGCACTGAAAGCTTTGGACAAACATCAGGGGGTGAGCCTGCAAACTTCAGGTAACCTGAACCTTGCGAAGACCATGAGTGCGTTGGCACCTTGGCTGACGTCACGCCGCCAAAGTCAAACCTGCCCCAAAATCCAGCAAGAAACATGTTCCGACTGCATTCTGCAGCTCAAACCCTTCCAACTCATTGATCCAGACTTCAACGAAATCACTTGCATTGAACAGGAAAGGTATTTCTCCACACCTCGGAACTCAGAGCCCACCGAATGGGGCCAGTGCGCAAGCAAACTGTCAGCGCTGGGGAGAACCAGCGGGACACAAGATTTCCGGACGAAGCACCGCAATGCCCGTGTTGTTCTTGCATTCGTCCGTGCAATTGCCTCCGTTCGGGGGATCACATTCCTCGTCGCCAAGGACCATGCCATCACCACAAATGGCCTCGCAGCCGTCCTGGCAACGGGCGTGCTCAAACGATACGAACGCACCCCCCTGCCCTAGCAACCCATCCTTCCACTGCCATCCTGGCTCCAAACTACACGTGGTGTTGCAGCACACACCTGGAGGATCGCACTCTTCCTAGGATGTCAGGCCAAGGGCAAGCACTGTGAGCAGACCACAATGACAAAGGCTTGCAGCACTTGTGTCCACTTCTCGGACATCAATACAAAGAATCGCTACGCGACCCAAGGCTCTTTGCCAACCACCATTGCATCGCCGCAAATCGCAGTGGTTGTGTCCTGTGACCACTTCCAGCCGGTCTCCAGCTTGCACTTCTCATCGCAGCCTTCCATGGGGGGATCACATTCCTCGTCGCCAAGGACCATGCCATCACCACAAATGGCCTGGCAGCCGTCCTGGCAACGGGCGTGCTCAAACGATACGAACGCACCCCCCTGCCCTAGCAACCCATCCTTCCACTGCCATCCTGGCTCCAAACTACACGTGGTGTTGCAGCACACACCTGGAGGATCGCACTCTTCCTAGGATGTCAGGCCAAGGGCAAGCACTGTGAGCAGACCACAATGACAAAGGCTTGCAGCACTTGTGTCCACTTCTCGGACATCTATGAAAGGAATCGCTACGACCCAAGGCTCTTTGCCAACCACCATTGCATCGCCGCAAATCGCAGTGGTTTTGTCCTGTGACCACTTCCAGCCAGGCTCCAGCTTGCACTTCTCGTCGCAGCCTTGCATGGGGGGATCACATTTCTCGTCGCCCAGGACCACGCCATCCCCACAAATGGCCTCGCAGCCGTCCTGCCGATCGATTGACGCGCCCATGCGTGCCCAAGAGGGCACTGCACTACTAGAACTTGACATCCCACCATTCGCCTCCCAACAAAATAGGACTCATGCGAGCCCGTCCTGCCATTGCCACCCGGAGGCAAGCTTGCACTGCGCATCGCAGCAACCACCTGGAGGATCGCACTCCTCGTTTCCTGTGATCTGGTTGTCTCCGCAGGCCATGGCTACCAGCTTTGCACCATCTTCACAGGCTTGCAAGTCTGTCTCCGCAGACTTGCGCCCATAGACCAGCAACCTTTCCGCACGCGTGTCCTCGGGACATGGGAGAACACGCGATGAGCGTGTATGTTTTGACATCTTTGACTGCGGGGAAGGCAGTCCTGACTTCTATTGGCATGTGTCTGCACGAGCCAGGGCTTGATGCATTCCGAGGAATTGGCAAGAGACCTGATCGCTTCGTTTCTTTGGCTGCTTTCAGACCCGATGGCTTGCTTGATAAAGAACAAACCGAAGCCGACAAGTGGCCCACACCAGAAAAGGCATCCAGTGATAGTATCTGCACCGCGACAGGTGACGGAGAATGAAGTGCCATCGTTCCACCTTGAAAGCATTGGGGCAATGGACAAACCGCACTACTGGGTTCTTAGGGAAGTTCAAGGTCAACACAAACTGCCCACCACTTCTCTCTCGCGGCCCAGCCGCAACTTGTACGGCGACCCGAGAGTGACCCATCCGCTGGCCTTTAACTTCCACGGACCATTTCCCATGCTGGCGAGGGTGGCATCCAAGCGGATGTCATGGCGGACCCAGTGGCCATCCATGGTGAAGCCAGCGAACACGAGCTCATTGAAATTTCCGCAGCCTTCCAAACTGAGCACTTCGCCCCTGGATTGACTTGCGCAAAGTTCCAGCTCGGGCGAAGGGTTGGGACTCTCCCTCTGCGCGTGCTTGACCGGCAGACTCAACGCGCTTCTGGGGCAAAACTCGAGCTGACAGAAAGGAGTGCAGCCATCATTGCTGTCGGAGTCCGCTTCATCACAGTCCTCCATCTTTACGGCCTTATGGTCGCCACAGATTGATTGGCATGGCTTGCCAGGCCGAGGGCACGCCTCAGTCCAAAATGGCGGGTTGGGGGGAGGGGCTGAAGGGAAGGGGGGAGGATAGAACCGACAGCTTGACTTAAGACCTTTGACTCTTCCAACCCAAGCGCAACTCCCAGCCAAACGCAGCTGGGACTCATATCCCGGAACCAATTTGCACTTCTTGCAGCCCTCTCCAGGAGAGTCACACTCCTACAATGCTGACATGTGCTGACTGAGACAATGCAGGGCCATAACCCTCGCGCCGGCTCCTCTGTGATGTCAAGCTTGCCATTGCCGCAATGCGCAGCGGCGATGAAGGCAATTTGCCGCTCCCAGTAGGAGAAGACCTCCGCTTCCAATGGCGTGGTGCGGAACTTCGAGGTGGCAATTGGCGCCAGCAGAGAGTTCTGGGACCCGAATTCGGAGAACTTCTCTTCGGAGACCCACTTCAGGGAAGAAGTGTCGATCAGGTCGTCGAGGCCACGGGGGTCGCAAATCGAACGCACCTTTGCGGTGCCGTCAGCATCTGTCCAGCAAACGAAGCCGCTCTGCATGAGCCCCTCGATGTTCTCATAGCCCACGGGGATGGAGCGGCAATCGGAGGCAGCTGCATCGTGCATCCAGGACAGGGCGGAGGTCTGCAGCAGGCGGGAGGGCTGCCTCAAGATCAGATACGCCGCGCCCTCGCCCTTTTGCTTCAAGGGGCTCCACAGGACCAGCTGGCCCAAGGCCGACTCCTTAGCTCATGACCAAAAAATGCACACGCCCCAGCCCCCCGTTTCGAGCCCTTCTTGGCACCGTCAAACGCGGAGCAAAACGCTCAGGCACCGGCCCCGAGATCCATGAGCGCCGGCTTGTGGCACTCCAAGGGTGCAGGGCTCCAGAAGGAGGCCATGGTATCCAACAAGCGGCCGCTGAGCTGCAGCTTCCCCAAAACCGCCCGCTCCTCACACGCGGCAAACATGGGCGTTCCAATCGAATGTCCGAGGTGCACCAAATGCTCCCTGAAAACCTGTGTTTCCTTGACTCAGGTCCTTGGTGTCGACCATGGCGTAGCTCTTGCGGATGGACTCCATGTCGAAGGCAATGCGCTTCCAGTCGTCTGCAAACTGAGTCCTCGCCTTGGGAGGCTCCAGGTCAAAGGCAGCGAACTTGCGCTCCAAGTAGGTGATCTGCATGTAGAGGTCCTCTACATTTCCCCTCAAAACATCACCCCCACCAAGGGACACTCACCTTTCATGGACCCAAAAGGTGGGGCTTTAACACCAGGGGAAATTGAGGACCCAGCAGTTGTGACGCAAGGCTGGGGATGGGGAGAGGTCCTTGAGAGCGATGGAATACTTGAGAGGGACGTCGTCCAGGGCCTGCTGGGTCCACTCCAAGAGCATCGTAGCCGCGGCAGGCGTGAAGAGATACTTTGCTGCCACCCGCTGCAGGGGCCGTCTGCCGTCGGAGCCTCAGTCACAGGCTCGGAAAAAGATCGAAACATTTATTTTGGCAGGCGTCACCACGAAGATCTCAACAGCACAGCTGACTCATAGAAGTTCCTCTCATTTGTACAACCGTATGATGCAGTGGCAGTGTTGCATGTGCTCTTTTTGTTCCATTGCATTTCTACAGCCCGAGCCAAGTGAGCTTTGGGACCTTTAGGATGTTCTGGCCCAAGCGTCAGTTCCAGGAAGGAATGGATGGTTGTCTCTTACTCTTGAAGCTGGGCGGCACGTGCAGGGCTTGAGCTCTCTGACAGTCCTTGGCCGGCACGCCAGGCGCTCCGAATCGAAGCAAACTGTTGCGCAAGCTGTTTGAAGGCCATCGCTTTCGAGCAAAACCTTCATCTCCCTAGCCAGGAAAAACGCGCCCACCAGCCCAAGACCCCCCCTGGCGACCCTTTTGCATTGGAGCCTTGACAGCCCGGTGCCCTGCGGACCTGCTTGCACTGCTCCCACATCAATTGCTTGGGAGAGCCCAAGACTCAGAAATGACTCCACGTGCAATGAGCTCGTGAAAGGACATGAAAAAACTCGCTGTACAACACCCAACCTGAGATATGTGCGGCAAAACTTGTAAATCTAGTCTTGGCAAGGCTCTGGGGTACACACATGGCAGTGCACTTTGCCTGCAAATCCTTGCCATACAGGACCTCAGCAGCGGGTGGTGTACAGTCGGCTTTGTCGCTTTCTACATTGGTTTGGTCAAATGCGTTTCGAGGGAATGTGCGGGTAAGAAACTCAAATTTGTTGTCTCCTTTGGTTCAACTTGCCATGGTTTCGGGCGGGTTGAGGGCTGGTTTGAGATGTGCTTGGGTTGGGGTAAGGGTTGATTTCGGATGATTTTAGAAGTAGGCTTCGAGTAAGTTTGGTGATGGTTATCGTGGGTTTGGGTTTGCTTTAGGGTGGACGTGAGGTCTTTAAGGGTGGGTTTAGTGTGGGTTCAGGGGAGTTTAGATTGGTTTTGGGTGGTTTAGGTCGGGTCTAGGGCGGGATTAGGTGGGGCAACTTTAGAGTTGGTCAAAGGCTTGGCTTCAGATTGGTTTATGGCATTTAAGTTCAGGATGGGACCATTTTTGGCTTGTGGTGGGTGGGATAGCTTTAGCTGAGACCACAGAAAGCTGAGACCGCAAAAACGATGAAACACAAGAGTCGAAACATATACAATTTGACAAGCTCCTAAAACAAAATGAGGAAACATCCTTGACAATTCAGACAATACCACTCCTTTCCAGAAGCAGGCCGCGCATTGTCGGCCATTGTCGGAAATCTGCGGCTTTTAGGGACAGCACCCTCGAGTCCATTCCACTGACTGCTCAGCAACATGCAGAAAGCCTCCATGGTCATGCCACTCAGGTCCTTTCAAGCCCGAGTGGCATCCTGATCCGCCACGATGACACTCTGCAGGCTCTCCTGGCAGCTGTTTCATTCTTGGCTAAAATGCTTGGGTCGGATGTCCTTGCGGGTTGCACTTCCCAGGTCCCAACCCTCCCGAACTTCCTGGGACATGAAGAGGTCCACTTGGGACTTGTTGGCCTGCAGGTCTTCGGCGATCTGCTCCGCCAAAGCTTCGAAGTGCATCCTCGAGAAGCCGCCGTCCACGGCCAGGATTGAGACTTGTGCAAAGCGCTGAACCACCTGGCGACTCCCCAAGACTGCCTTTTCCGCCAATTTACGTGGAACCTGAATGGGGGGGGGTCCTGGTTTCGACCGTTTTACTTTTAAAGGGACCCTTTGCCGGTTTCCATGCTAATTGGTGGGAGGGGATCCTCTGAGCCTGCATGTCATTTGGATGCACTTGGGATTATTTCAGGAGGTAATGCGCTTGCGCCCCACCTCGCCATAAATCGTGTGCAGCATCTTCATTGCTTCGGCCGAGGACTGCTTCACCGCTTTTGTTGCCTGGAGCCTGATGGAGCGGACAAGCAAAGGATGGCAGCGCAACAAAGCTGCAGGACACAGCAGCGCTTTCACTCTGCCAAGTTGCACGTCTTCCAGCTGTCCGCTGCAAGAGCGGTAGGCTGCCTGTGCAGCCTGCAGGTTGTTGATGTCGGCGCGCCTCTTGTCAGAGAAGTCCTGCGCAGCGCACGCGCAGTGCGCATTCGCAGAGGGGCTTCTTGTCAAGACGCAACACTGCTGGGGGGCGAGGGGTTCAAATCCGTTGAGCCCCTCAGGGCTGCCAAAGGAGCAGAGCAACGAAGGCAAAGTGAGTGCAAACGTAGAATTAAACGAGATGTCTGGAAAGCTTCCGCAGCGTTCAAACTGGGCAAGGCCCGGAGCACAGCGAAATAAGACATGCCGACGCCGGCAGCTTCTCACGCCCTTCGCTCCCGCCCCCCCTTGCAAGCAAGGCCGGCGAGCTGCGCAAAGAAGAAACCCCTAGCAGCATACATATTTCGAAATGGCGCCATCAGTCGTTACTTGGTAATTGCCGCTTGGCACGCCATGCCTGGGTCAAAAAATCCCCAACCGAGGACGCAACAATTCCCGCAACCCTCCTGGAACTGCTGAAGCAGGTGCTCCAGTGACAGCGTCAGAGTCTTGAACTGATAGATGAAGTCCTGTCTTGGGGACGCATCTGTCTCAGCATGCTTTGCTGGGTTTCGAATTAAGGCATGCCTGGCCGTCTGGGTGAGAATTCTAGGGCCGCACTCACAAGAAATATGTTTTTTTTTTGGGGGGGGGGGGGAACCGTCTTTTTCCAAAGGTAGGTACTTGAACTTCAAAACAAGCAGCAGGCAAGACTTGGTTTGCCGATCATGCCCATAACGACTCATGCAGCGCATGCGTGTCTTTGCCATTCTGTCCACCACCGCTAAACTTTACAGGAATTGGCTAAAATTATGTTTCGCAGGCAAGAAAGGTTCCGAATCAGGCTGGCCCTTCATGTGCCAGGATGTCCCACGTCATACCAAAAAATGGCTTCTCCCCATGTCCTGAAATCGGGACTCCCTGACCTGGGCTGCCCTCAGATCCCCCGCTAAAAGTTTAACTTTTAGTGGGTTAAATGGAAACTACCACTAAACCCTAAAAGGCTTAAAAGCTAAGGGGATGGTCCCACGTCCTACCAAAAATGGCTTCTCCATCTCTCCACGTCCTGAAATCGGGACTCCCTGACAGCAATCGGAATGTCGTCGATCTTGTCTTCGATGACCTCCAGCTTCTGGACGATGGCCAACAAGGCGCTCATCTGCCGCTGCTGGCCATGGTGCAACTCCTGGAACTGCTTGCTGCTCTGCTTCGCCAAGTCCTTGATCCTAACATGGCCATCGATAGGGGCCATCGATAGGGGCAGCTGCCTGTAGAAGATAGAATGGGACAGAGATCCCCGCATGTCAGACACAACAAGTCGGGCTTTGGGGGCATGCAACGGTACAAAGCATTGGGTTTAAGGGAGGTTCTTTGGAGACTGCTTTGCTCCAGCTCTCCTGTTGTCCACGACTTCGATTCCTTTCAGTGCAGAATTCAGCTGTCCTGACATTTGCAAGGAGCTCGCAGCAACAGGACGAGCAAGATCGATATCTGTACCGCATAAAGTGAAACATGTAAAACTATTTGCATGGATCCGAACCAACAAACAATATGGCAGGAAACAAGCACACTGAGCACCCCAAGCACCCCAAGCACCCTAAGCACCCTAGACTAAGATGTACGTGTTGGGACACTCCCATCTCGCGTCCTTGCACATGCACCAGCTTCTGATCAACCGCGTTGAAGCGATCAGTCATCTGCTTTTGAATGGCTTTCCTGTTGGCATCCAGCTTCTGCTGCACTTGATCAAAACCTTCAGTCACCTCGGCAAGTGACTGAGGTTGACTGAGTATCCCTCTGCCACAGAACAGGCAACTTAGGATGGGCGGCGTCTTCCCCCAAAATTTGTTCAGCTCTTTGGCAAGTGGCTGTGTCCTTCAAGTCGGAGAAGCTCTCCTTCATTTGCTTTTGGATGGCCCTTTGGCTGTTGGCCACCGCATCCTGCTGAGGGGAAAACTCACAAGCCAGGAATCGGTGTCAATTGCAAGGCGAGGAGCAACCACGACAGTTGGAAGCCCCAAGGAGAACAAAATGCAAAACCCCAGGCAACACGTCAAAGGGTACCAAAGATAAATCTCCTCCCCCTATTAATGAATGACCCCCATTAATAATAAATGCAAATCCGGGGCCCGAGACCAGATTTCCACTCCGTACAATTGATTTTCAATTGCCCCAATACTAAGCCAATACTAAAGTCTTGGAATCCTTGTTAGGGGGCACTTTTAGCAAGCTTCCAGCCTCACTTTTCAAAAGGTGGCTGGCTTCTGCAAAAGGTTGGGTTCTTTTGGTGGGTTCCCCAAAAGGTTGTTCTTGACTCTGTTGTCCCTGGCTGTCCCTGACTCCCTGGCTGGCTGGCTGCGTTTGTCACCTGGCTGCGGTCTGTCTGGTCTGGCTGCCTGGGCAGAGCTCTGTCCTGGGCTTGCCCCAACAAACTACGAAACATCCTTTCTGCCTGGCTGTCCCTTTTTTTGTAGGGGTTATGGGGACCCAAACCACACTTACTCCGCCCTGGCTGCCTTGCCTGCCTGGCTCGCTGCACCCAGCTAGGCTGACCTAGCTGTCTCTGTCTTGCCTGGCTGGCTCCAAAAAAAGAAGCACTCCCAGCAGTGCAGCTCAAACCAAAAACAAAAAAAGAAACAACAACATCAACAACAGCTAATTAGCTTCATATGTCAAACAACTGCATATATATATATATACATATTTAACAACACCAAAAGCTGCATTGCAGGGGCGCTTTCGAGGCAGTCTGGCTGCCTTTCTGTCTGGCTCACCTATGCCCGGAGGCAAAGGGTGACCCACGAAAAAGGTGGTCCAGCCTGTCTGGCTCTCACCCAGATTTCCTGCTTCCACCACTGCCTGACTGCCTGACTGCGTCTGTTCTTCCTTGGCTTGCTCCCGGTGGCGTGCTGTCTCAGCCCGGTCTTGCCGAGGCTCCTCATATGCACAAAGTCTGCCAGCCTCTCCTGCTCGCTCGGCTTGGCTAGCCGACTGGCAAAGCTATGGCTGACTTTGTACTGCCGCCGCAGGTGCTGCTTGGCTGCTGCTTTGCTGCCTGTGGCTGTCTCCATCTTTTTTAGCTCCTGAACTAGGCTGAGCTTGCCGGCTGCGCTGACCTCTGCCCTCTTCTTCCTCAAGCCAGGGACTGCCTTCCAGCTAGTCTTGGCTCCTGGTGGCCTGCCTCTCTTCTGCTTCTCTGGGGCCGCTGCTTTGTCCATCCCGTGCTTGGCAAGAGCAGCCCTGGCTTCCTCCTCTGCCTCCTGTCTTCTCTCCTCTGCAGCCTGCTCCTCTCTTTGCCTGGCCTGCTGGCCAGACAAGCCGGGGCTTGCTTGCCTGTCTGGCGTCTTGCCGAACAAGTAGTCCAGTCTGCAAAACACTGGCTGGCCTCTGCCCATGCTCTGCTGCACTGGAACCATCTGCCTGCTACTGCCTGGGCTGGGCAAAAGCTCCTGCTGACTAGGAGGGGTAACCGCCACTGCCTGTCCCTGGCTTGGTGAGCTGGCGGCTCTGGTCTTGCTGGGCGGGGTTTCAAATGAAGACTGCCTCTTCATTTGTCCCGTGCTGGCTTGGGCGACCTCTTGCGGCTGGACGGCTTTTGACTGCTGAGGGGCATCCTGGACTGTCTGTTCACTCCCTGCAGCCTTCTTAGACTCGGCCTTGTCATCAAGGAAATGCTTATGAAAAACACATGTGATGCTTGATAAACAAGCGCAATTCAATGTCTGTTCTGTATCTAATTACCACTTCCCCCAGTCCTGGCTGTTCTCCAACATCTGGCGCAAGATGGCCATCTGGCTGGGGTCCAAGGACTGCACCAAGCTCTGCAAGGACTGCTCGGTGTGTCCATCTTGGCCACCAGTCTGGCTGCCTTGACCATCTCCAGCCATTGCTCCCGCCCAGATCAGCAAAATGCTGTCTGGTCTGAGTTTCTGCCTGCCTGGCTGACTGCTGGCTGCCTTCCTATCACTGAATGCATGTCTGGCTGTCTTGAAACCCACACTGCCTTCTCGAGCACTGCACTGTCTAGCAGTCAATCACAAGCTGGCTACCTGACCTGCCTGGCTGCACCCCAAAGTGTTTTTTTGTAATTGGGTCCTTTCATTATTGGGGTGTCCCTCAAAAGCAAACATGTCCCCAAAAGCTGTCTAGCTCGAGTTTTTGCACCTCGACCACGCCGATCCCCGCAGAGGGTCGCGCGAGCACCGCAGAAATCGCAAAAAACCTCGAGTTTTTGCACCTCGACCACGCCGATCCCCGCAGAGGGTCGCGCGAGCACCGCAGAAATCGCAAAAAACCATGGGTTTTTGCACCTCGACCACGCCGATCCCCGCAGAGGGTCGCGCGAGCAGGTTAGAAATCGCAAAAAACCATGGGTTTTTGCACCTCGACCACGCCGATCCCCGCAGAGGGTCGATTTTCGTGTAGTGTCTCCCGCCGCCCTAAGAAGAGATTTTAACTCCTCGCAAGTCAATTGCACTTGACTCCTTGCACTTGCAACTTGCACTTGACTCCTTGTTTGTTGCAAGGAGTCATTGCAAGGAGTCATTGCAAGGAGTCATTTGCAAGGAGTCATTGAGTCATTGCAAGGAGTCATTGCAAGGAGTCATTGCAAGGAGTCATTGCAAGGAGTCATGAGAGCCATTGCAAGTTGCAAGGAGCCAAGTGCATGGAGTCAAGCAAGTCGCAAGTGCACGGAGTTAAGTGCAAGTTGCAAGTGCAAGGAGCCAAGTGCAAGGAGTTGCAAGTTGCAAGTGCATGGAGTCAAGTGCAAGTTGCAAGTCAAGTGCAAGTTGCAATCCTTGCCATGACTCCTTGCAATGACTCCTTGCAATGACTCCTTGCAATGCAATGACTCCTTGCAATGAATGACTGCAACTCCTTGCAATGACTCCTTGCAATGACTCCTTGACTCCTTGCAATGACTCCTTGCAATGACTCCTTGCAATGACTCCTTGCAATGACTCCTTGCAATGACTCCTTGCAATGACTCCTTGCAATGACTCCTTGCAATGACTCCTTGCAATGACTCCTTGCAATGACTCCTTGCAATGACTTTCATGATGATGATTCCTTGCAATGACTCCTTGCAATGACTCCTTGCAATGACTTTCATGATGCTGATTCCTTGCAATGACACCTTGTAATGACTCTCATGAGAACAACTCAAGTGAACCCAGCGGAAGAACCCTTCGCCATGCTTTCGGGAAAACCCCAATAAAACAAAAAAAATATTTGGGGGGATTTATTTATAATAGGGGGGGGGGGGGGCGTATTTATTAATAGGGGGAAGAGATTGCAAATCGTTTTGCGTGCTCACGAATGCCCAAGCCTTGATCTTCGAAGTTGCCTGGTCTATCTGCTGCCCTGTTCCGCTGAGTACTGCTGACTGGAGGTTGTTCAGACCGTTGGTCATGAAGTCCTGCGTTCGAAGTCGAGCGCTCTAAATCTCATGGAGGTTGGGGGATCCGTCTCACGACCGGTTGGCACAGTCCACAGGCAACAACTAAGATCCAATAGACCAGGAGATGCCTCTCGCTGCGAGTGAGCCGTGCCATGCAAGTTCAATCCCGCCTTCAGCTCCTTGGTCTGAAGCTTGCTGTCGCACTGCCCTGCCTGCATCATGTAGGCCAGCCGCGCATTCTGCTCCTGCTGGGATGCCTCAAGCTTCTGATAGATCTGCCTCGTTTGCTCTTCCGTTCGGTTGGCGGCCGCCTTGTCCATGCTGAACAGCTGCTCCCGGGTGCTGGCAAAGCCCTCGTCCATTTGGGTCTGGATATCTGCCAGTTCCTGCTGCACCTTCTGCGTCTCCGCCGCCAGCGAATCGAACTGCTTGGCTTGGTACATGTTCTGCAGCTGGATCTGATTTGTGAGGTCCATCTGCTTTGTTTCACCCCCGCCCTCGTTGAGAAACTTCATCTCGCAAAGGAATTGATCTCCCGAGGCCTTGGCACAAGACTCGGTGGGAAGGAAGGAGGCCCGGATCTCTGCGGCGATCGCTGTGGAATTTTTCGCGACGCCCTCAAAAATGCCCTGGGAGATCCAGGAATCGCAGTAGTTTGCGGTTGCTGCGTCCCTCTCATTCTCGTCGCAAAACTGTTTGACGAACTCAGGAGGAATCTCGTAGCCAATGTAAGTGGACTTGGCCTTGGCCATGCCAAGGCAGATGGACTTCATCCACCCTGCGCTGATGCAGGCGCAAGCAAGCGCAAGCTTGGCGTGCGCTCGACAACCCGCAAGCTGTTCTGCTACCTCTGCGTCGATCTGCTTCTGGATCTCTCCCTCTGTTTCTCGGGTTACCATCTCTGTTCCCTCTTCCTGGCATCTGTCGAATCCTTCGACCTTCTCTCCCTTGTTCACGTCGGGGCAGTCAACCTCCAGCTCCAAGAGCTCGCAGGTGAACTTCTGATAGGAGGTGCCGGTCAACTCCATCACTTCCTATCGAACTGTATCTTACTTTGTTCCCCCCTGCCTGCCCTTGGCATAGATACCAGTACTTGATGCGGGGACTTGGAGAGGCCTAAATCTTAAGCCCCCGGCAAAGTGAACATTTCGGTTGGAGACTCTCCGGAAAGCGCGGAAAACTCTTTTGGGCGCCTACCCTCCCGCCAACTAACATGGAAGTGCACAACCCCCTTTCCAAAGGAAAGTGGTCTTTCTACAGGGGTCTGTGCACTTCCATCTTAGTCGGTGGGCGCCTAAGTACAAACGACCCAAAGGCCCCCGAGTCCCCAAAAAACCACCGAGTGATGGGTGAGTCCTGGACCACCGGCGAGTCTGCCCCCTGCACATCCTTGGCTGCCTCCTCCAAGGCCCAGGCGTCGCAGTCCTCCGAGCGATTTGGCCGTTCAACATGGGCACAGTTGGTTCACTTTGGGGAAGCCCCCGCGAGACTAACAAACCAAATGCCCATGCGCATCTGTTTGTTGGTTTTTCTTTTCTTTTTTCTTGGGGTGGGGGGATTAAGCTGTTGGGCTGCATGGCGCTGCAACATTCCTCCCAACGTGCCCAGTCATGCTGAGGGCTGCTTTCAGTCAGTTGAATCCGGTTTTGTGGACGCACATCACATGAGCCCCGGTTTTGTGAAGTGGACAGGCGAACAATTTCGTGCGTCCCCTGATTGTGGCAAGCTTAGTAAGACCCCCCAGACCCTATCCAGGAGCTTCAGTGCTTGCCAGGAGGAAATTCCAGACCGTGACGGACCCATTCAGCCATCATTTCAATGTGCAAGCGTCCTCCACAGATGCCGGGCAAGTAGCCCTATATTTCTCCGCTGCTTTCTGCACACCGCTTGCGGCGTTGCACCTGTGATTCGGCCATCCCTTTTGTCCGTCACACAAACACCACACGAATTGGCACAAAGCATCAAGCACAAAGATGCAGGTGCCCGTGCCTCGTTTGCAAAGCTTCTTTTGCCTCAAAGCACTCAATGATGCACTCATGGGTCGCCAAGTGATCTAGAATCCGAGCCTACGGTGATAGGAAAGCCTCTCAGATGCTCGAATGGGAGCAAAATCAACTTGAGGCCCCTGACGTGTTTTACGGCGTCAGGCGGCAGGCGGCAAGTGGTTTGGTTGATTGACAAAGGCGCCGGCAGGGAGCTCGGAAGGCTAAGTGGCGCCAAGTTGCGGTTCTTGTCTTGTGCAGAGACATGCTCGTCGTTCCAAGGCTGCAGCCCTCTTTTCCGATGCCGACATAGCACATTCCCCCGGACATTTGCACGACTTTGCAATCTGACAGGTTTAAGGCAGGCAACATTACACAAGTGTCAAGCTGCAATTCGCGCAAGCAGGACGCAGCAATACTCCCCAGCGCCTCCGTCGACGAAGCAAGCCTTCTTGCAAGCTTCCGCCTCTTTGATTTCAGGGAATGCCCCCATGTCTTTGCATAAGCCACTTTCCACGTGCTCCATAAAGGTGTCCGGCTGATACTCGCCCACATCTTTGCATGCTTTGGGCCCGCTGACTGACGTCGGGTTCTTCACCTCATAGTAGGCGTTGCTTTTGGCGAAGCGGCAAACGCCAGCTCCCACAGCCGCATCAGTGACAACGAAGGACCAGCGGAAGCAGCGCGAGCAAGCGCTGTTGCAGAGCTTTTGGCACCTCAACTGTTCCTCACTTCCTTTGAAGGAATTGTGAGTTTGATTGACTTTGCGGGTTTTCCGGGCAAAAGGAACACTATCCAGAAAAAGAAGACGCCCGAACTCAAGCTCCCCAGGCGCTCGTAAGGAGTTCTGGCAGGCCCATACTTCTCAGAGATGTCCTTGCAAATCGCATGGGCCAGAGGTAGTTCCGTCCCATAGGAGTAGCAGTAGCCCGCCTGCTTCTTCGTGAGCTCCATGGACTTCTCGATCTGACCGCTGAAGGTCTCCTCCGTGTCTGTCTTGAAGAGCTGCTGCACCAAGACCATCAGGCTGCCGTTGCCCTGGAACATCCCGGTGAGGCCATCGAAGTGCACCTCCGGGCTGGGCATCAGGGTCTTGAAGGCCTTCTCCAGCTGCCGCTTCACCGGCGCCACGGCCTTCTCCACCAAGGGCTCGAAGGGCTTCAGCGCGAAGCTGAAGATCTTCTCTAGGAACCCGGTCAGCGCCGCCAGCAGGTCCCGGAGCGAAAACTCCCAGCACTTGATGAAGGGAATGCAGACCTTGTAGACGCCGAACAAGGCGGCCTTGGTCTTCCTGACCGGGAGAAAGATGAAGTTCATGACCTTGTTGGCTTCTGCCATCTTCTTCAAAATGGACTCCGGGATTAAACCTTCGATCCAGGAAATGATCTCCCTCACAAAGTCCGTGGTAGCACCAAACAAGCCGTCCACCGCAACCGCCCCCGTGAGCGCATTGTCTGCGAGAAGGGCCACTGGAGGTAGCCACCCGCAAACGTTCATGGCCAAACCCACCATTTCCGCGGCCTTGTTCGCGGGAAATGCCTGAAGTTTCAAGACTCGAATGGCCTCGACGGCGTAGCCGACCCTTCTGACCACCATCTTCCTGAATTTGCAAGCCAACCTGAACTTTGGAACGTAATCGTCTTTGAGCTTGTCCCGGATTGGAACCAGGTGCTTCTCCATAAGCTTCACAAGAAAATCAACGGGCTTGTTCAGAAACCTGGCGAGAGTTCCAACTATGGGCAAGCCAGAAGCCATCTCCAAGAGCTTCTGAAACACATCGAGGATATCTTTGACGTTGGTGATGAACTGAACCTCAGCAAAGCTCCAGACTTCCCCCCTTCAGCCTGCATGTCCAATGTGAGTGCGCGGGCTTCTGCGCGTCTGTGCGTGTGTCTGTGTTTGTGTGTGCGCGCGCACGCAAGCAAGGCAAGCAAATCCAACGAACGTGTTCCAAAGAGCGAGAGACATTCGGCGGTCCAGTTTAGTCATGCCGTGAGTTCACAACCCCAAGATGCGCCTGTAGATGGAAAAAATGGAGCCCATGGCGAGGGGTAAACCAAGAAGTTGACACGTGCAACAGCTCAACAGCTCGACACGCACATAGATTGCCGGTGCTCTCGCACCGTTGAACCTGTTTCAGCAAATTGCTGGTGCGATGGGCCCATCGCAACCGTTGAACGCAAGGTTTCAGGACGCCAAGTCTCCGTCGTGAGGCCGCCCTCGTCCAACTTGCAGGCCAAGTCCCCGGCCTCATCGAAGGTGCTGAAGAGGTTCCCCGACCTGAGAGCCTGGGCCTTCTCATAGGACTCCTCCAAGTTCTCCAGCAGAGTGGTCGCCCCTTTGCAGAGTGGAGGGCCCAAGTTGGAGCCATCCCCATAGAGCAGCTCCACTGCCTTGCCGATGTACTTGTCCCGTTGTTCGAAGTAGTACGCATCCAAGTAATCCCGGTCCCTTACGTTTGTGACATACTTGTCCAACTTCGTCATTAGCTTCGGGCGGAGCTGGCTATTGGCACGTTCCAGGAGAAGTCGGTTAGCTGTCACCCGAAGCTCCTGCAGGCCCCCCTCTAGAATCGCCTGCGTCTGGGAAAGGTCGAGTGACTCAAGTGTGGATGCGACTGTCCGGGTCTCCGTCTCTGTGTCATCCGTCTCAAGAAGGATGATTCCATTGGGGTACCCGTCTGCCTTGCCCATGCCGCTTGCGCCGACCGAGAAAGCCTCCTCGAGCAGCATACTGTTGAGAGCCTCCATGTCTCTGGACAACTTGGCGGCCAGCGTGACGCTTCCTTCCTAAGATCCCCAGTTCAGTCTCCACTCGTTAGCTTGGGGCCCAAAGACTCAACACACCATGGTTCAACGTCCCTACCATTCCTTACTCCAGCTAAGAGATAAAGGATGACGCGCGCAGAGAGCTGAGCTTCCCGGAGCAAGCGCCGCAGCATGCTATGATATAGCAGCTGTGCCTGGGTCCGGGGCGATGCCAGGCTGCCGCCCTTGGCTTTCAAAATGCGACGCACGGTTGTCGCATTGTCGGTCGCACATTCGGATCCAAGGCGCCTGGGCTCCATTTCCATGGTGGAAGGCGGAGTCCTGCAAACGAATCGGCGAATTAGCGGCTCATCCGAAGCCTCGTCGTCCTTCAGGGGCTGCCACAGCTTCTCATCCAAGAGGGCAATGAACCTCTGCTGCTCCTGGCTAGGAAGGTGAACCTCTGAACAACCGCTCACCATGGTTTGCTGGACCAGAACGGCTACAGCACTTCGCTTCTGCAACGTGCTGCTGCTGCAATCCCACAGCAGGTGATGGGTCCTTGGGTGTGATTCCAGTCTCGTTCGCCGCCACTAAGTCCTTGCAGGGCCGCCCTTCAAACAGTGCCAAGCATCAGGTTAAGCAAACTGTGCTGGTCACTTTCCATGCTGTGGCTCATGTGTGCGGCCATGAAATGCAATTGAGATGCATGGGATGCACGTCTCTTGACATGGAAAGGTCTTTCGCTCTCTCTCTCTCTCTCTCTCTCCCTGCCATGACCTGCAAAGAAACCGTAAAATCAGTGTCTCTTCCTTCTGGCCTCTCCCATTCCCTTTGGGCCTTTAGGTACCCAAGCCCCGTTGTCCTGGAGCTGGAGTGTCCAGCTGTGTCGCCCCTGTGAGTTCATGTCTGAGCACACCACAAAGATAGGGAACCAAAGACGTGGGCGTCCAATTCTCTTTGCAACGACTGCGCGGCACACACACACACACATCTTCAGCCGAATTCAGGCCCATTCAGGTTGCAGGTTCTGTGGCAAACCGCCTTTGCCCAAGTGCAGCTGCGCCGCTTTGTCAGCTTCCCTTTGCACGTCCACCTTCACGGCTTTGGCCTGAAGCAACGGCTGTTTTTTCCCGCAATCGCCGAAGCTGTGAGGTGCAAGCGACCCTTGCGGCAACTTCTGAAGCGAGTGGCAAGGTCTTTGGTCTGACAGTGCCGCTCGGCGCTGGATGCCGCAGCCTTGACAACTGCCAGAAGGATGGTGTCGGCCTTCACCCGAAGCCGTCCAAGCGTCCACACCCTCTGCTCTGCAGGGCTCAGAGCGCTTTGTGTTTCGTGCAAGGCAAAGGCTCCCAGATCTGAAAGGAATTGCGTGAAGTCGTTTGCTGACTCCATGCAGCGGCCAAGACGTTGCAGAGCTGCGTCATCTTGCTTGCTCAGGGCCTCCAGGTAAGAGTCCTCTGCTTGCTGTCGTTGCCCTCGGGCCACTTCCTCAACGTGACGCTCGAGGTCAGCTTGCAGCAATTCGAGAACCTCACAGCTTCTGACGCGCATGCTGACAAGTCACAAGGCAAATCAGCTGCTTTGGAGCTTGAGGCGCGGGCCATGTCGTCCTGCGGCGGCAAGTCCAAGGTTTGGAAGGCTTCCGTCACTTGCCGGCGCACTTCCTCCATGTCGCCCCCCGGAAGGGCCCGGCACTTGCTCCGCACGAGTCTCCGGACATTGCCCTTTAGGATTGCCGTGAGCCGCCCGGCAGCGTCGCTTCTGCTCGCGCCCAGGGCCCGCTGCAGGGTCACTTGTGCAGCTCGCTGCACCGCCGCCAAAGGCTGGAGCTCGGGGTCCAACTGGTCCATCTCCTCCAGCTGAAGCTGCGAGAGCGTCGAGACGAAGTCGTCAAGGCGCCTTGCCATCCTTTCAAAGATAACCTGCTCAGCCATGGACAGCGGCGCCTCCGCAGCGATCCTGGACGTTGCCGCTCGCCACTGGCCTGTCCTGACAGCAAAAGTGGAAGTCGCGCGCGACAAAAACACATCTTCTTCAGGCCCCTTCTGCCCCTCCCACCGCATCGCTACCTCAAGCCCGGGAGCCTCAGCTGCATCAGAGCTCCCTCGGAAGACGTCTTCACCCGGTTCGCGATCACAGCGGCTGTCTCGGACTCTCTGAGAACGGTTTGCGCGGCCCAGACGGCATCTGCCGCAGAGACTTCCACATGCATCAGGACCTGAGGCAAGGTTTTCAAGCCGCTCGACTTGAAATGACCCAATATTTCACACAGAGCATGGGTACAGAACGGAACTCTGTGACCTGGCCTCCCTGACGGCAATGTCCAACTGCTTCCTGGCGAGCTTGGTGCCAATTGAGCTGACCTGGACCTTCTCTTCCAGCTTGCCGGCGGCCAAAGTGTGGGCCTCCGCCGCCAACTTCCCCAGCTCGCTGGCCAGCACGGCCCGAGCGGCGCTCAAGAGCTCGTCGCGGAGCTCGTCGTTCTGGTTGAAGAGGTCTTCGGAGACGTGGCGCATGATCTGGGCCACCGACTCTTGGCTCAACGTCAGGAGCTTCGCATGCACTTCACCCTCAAGGTGTGTTGTGAGGTTCGCTGTCTCCTCTGCGCTCAAACTGAAGGCCATGGCTCCTTAGGCTCTGGGACCTACTCACACTCTCCCATGCCGACATTCTGAGCCCTTGATAGGTTCTTAGATTCTTGGCCCTCGCACGCTCAAATCTTGGGGCCTTCACGCAAGTTCAGTGTGTAGCAACTGCATCTTAGCCGAGCTTCCCTCCGTCAGCATCCTCTGCAACTGGCGGTCCATGGCTTGCTGTCCATTGGAGAGGAGCGAGAGCGCAACACCGCTGAGCTTGCCAGCGCTAGCGCTCTTTGCCTCCTGGGCAACGGTCAGCAAGGCCTCAAAGCGTGACGGTTTTCGAAACATGGCACGCTCCACACGCCAAGCGCTGCACACATGTCACGGGTTGTTCCGAGCTGCATCGCTTTCTGCGACTGGGAGCTTTTGTGAGGAGATCTCCATGGCAAGGCGGTCAATGATTCCTGCACACATTCTGGGGCATGAGCATGGCTCCTTTGCAAGCGTTCCGCTCCTGACCCACGAAGAGCCTGTACCAGATCTGCCCCGAGCTTCAAGAGGTGATCCTTGTCTTTCTGCTTCAATTCCTTGCTTGCTGTTGACCCCCCTGCAAAAAGTTTGACTTTTTTGGGGTTTAGTGGAAAACACCTTTGTTTCCTAAAAAGCTAAAGTCTAAAGATCCAATCCAATAGCAGTCAAGATTCAAACTTCAGGAGGTTGAAGTGGAGCAGCTCTCGCGAGCTTTCCTCCAGCCGCTCCGCCATGACTGCCGCGAGGCTCTCCGCGCGCGTGTCCACGCCGGCGTTTTGCGCCAGGACCGTGTGCCTCGGGCCGTGTCTGCGGCCATGGGCTCCCTTCCGCGTGTCCAGGGTCACCTTCACCAAGGCTTCCACCA